ACATTGGCTAAGACATTACAGAAAATACCCGTTAAGTGAAAGTGGAAAGAAAAAAAACAGACAAACCAAGGAACTTCAAGAACATACCAAATACCAATTATCTAAAAAAAGAAGAAAAAAATTAATACAGATTTTAAGGCTAACTTTTAGAAATATGAAATTGACCCTAATTGTTTGCATTTATTCTCATCTGACCCTACATGACCAACTATCAAGGATTCAGTGTCTCTTTTCTTGTTAAAAGATTCATGATTCAGTATTTACCTAGTTTATCTTTCTCGTTCGTTGATTAGTTTAACTGCAAGAAATGAACAGCCTAATCTTTGACTAAACAAATTCGGAATCTGTAGCTATACTCTGTATATTTCCGTAGGTGGCTTATACAATCGATTGAAAAATTAATGCATGGAGTAGTATTAATCAAGAACTAGTATGTGTGAGAGAAATCTGAAAAACAAAAAAAAAAGAGAAGTATGTGTGAGAGAAACAATAAAACAACAAAGTATGCTTGAAGGTCTCGTTGATTGCTAACTTGCTACTGGCTAATTTTCTATTTTTGTTTTTGTCTTAGATAGATATCAAATGCTTAACGAAATAACGAATAGTAGGCAACTGTGTTTCCATTAAGTGATGTTTTTTGGTTATTACGAACAAACCACACATATTTATCTATTTTCACATTTATGCCAATGTTTTATAACTAAATTATAGAATATGAGTTTATTTCTGTTATTAGATTCTAAGTAGTTTACTAAGTACCTAACCCAACAAGTTAAAAATGTCCCATAATATTTTTTAGGATACCTTCATACCGACTGTTCTATATTATAAGTAGAGAGAGATATATAAAGTGTCCATTCATGCAAATTGACTAGTCACCAGAATCCACTAGAAATAATTTGGCAAAACTTCTTTTGGCTTTTCATTTTCCAGTTCGATCGAGGGATTCCACAATTAATTGCAAAAGCTAATTTTCTGTTATTAATTTCAACCCAACTGTTTAAAAATTCATGCCCCCCCCCCCTTTCCTCTCTTCCTTTATGACCAAAATCTATTCAGATCATATTACGCCGAAATCGCAGTTAATGGTACTCTGATTTTATCATTTTTAGTCTATAACTTTTTGTTTCATGCTTCTATGATTATACAATGTTGACAACAAAAACCATAAGTTTATTACTTATCCTCAAGGTAGTACATATATAAGATAAAAAAAAATTACAAAAAGTGGTCTGAATATAAACAAGTCCACAATGCTCGCAAAGAAAAGAGGACAAAGCAAAGGAAAAGTGATCAATGCTAAGGAAGAAAGATAGGGGCATGTGTTTGATAATTGAGATGTTAGGCAGATTCGGAATCTTTCAGGCACCTTTTTTAACCTTCATCATCTTATCTCTCTCAAACATGTTTCTTTTGTAACAATTATATTTATAATAATTACATTTTGATTCCGCTTTCACATAAAAACCGTTTTCGCCAAAATGCAGTATCTTTGCCTTTGCTTTCTTTTATAATACTTTTTTCCATATCTGTGTATATGTTTCACTAAGCAACTTGGATCCCTTTTGCGTTGGGTAAAAAGAGACTTCATACCACTGACCACACACCACTTACCAAACTTTGCAGTACAAATCTCTCTACTTTGATCGGTTTGGAGGAGTTTTTTTATCATATATGTTTTTCAAATCTCTCTACTTTAATCCGAGTGTATACATCTATTTTGTGTGTAATACTGTAAAAAAAAGGTTTTGCATCCATTTTTATTCTTGTGATCATGAGATGTGAAATGCCTTAGTAAAACAATAAAAACTAAAAAGCAGTAAAAAACTAAAGAAGCACTAATAGCCACCTTTTTGTTCAATGAAAATTATTGAGATGGCGATTACTTTTTTTTTGGTAAGTGGTAACCATTTGATTTATAGACATTTATAGTGGGGTGTCTTTTGCATACCCAATATATGACGCATTATTGTTCCTTTCTTCAAGTGATTTTGGTTTATGATAAATCGGAGATATATATTAACTTAATTCTTTGAAACCCTGTTATATGGCTGGGCATCTCTATCTTCAATATTTTTCTTTTCAATTTACTCGTAGGAATAGACTGACAATTTCCATGGTACAATAATTTTGAGGTTTTTTCGTAATTGTTTGACCGTCTTAAATTATCTCTTGGCATTGTTTAACATCTGTAAACTATTTAGTATATAAAATATTTTGACAGAAATATTTAAATCCTAATTAAATACACATTTTCTATATTTCCACCATTAAAAATCCAATAAAGTAATTATTAATTTACTGTAAGGAAAACTACGTAAAATAAAGTAGATTTATCAAAGCTTCACTAATGAAACGAAAAATATACTGTATTAAACATCACTTAAAATTAAAATGAAGAAAAAATTAAATTTAGTCAAAACAATAAATCAAGAAGACAATTAGTACAACAAAAATTTCGTACTCCATTACTTTTCTTACCGGTTCTCATAAATGGAGGGACAAATTGATTAGTAGGGATACCTAATTAACGTCAGACCTCACTTATTTGCTTGAAACAACACTGTTTTTTTAAGTAATTGATTATTAAGTGAGTAGTAAGTACACCATAATGGAAGAGTAGAAACAAAGGGTATATTAATTGACACGTGTCGATCTGGCATCTCATCTATGCGGGTTTACATGGGATCCACATGCGCACACAGAGCACGCACTCTTGCACGTGAGATGTCCGTACTAAGATGGTCCATCTTCCTTTTCGATCAATTAACATTACGTTTAAAATTAAAAATTAATCATACTTTTTTTTGTTAAATTCAAATTAATCATACTACTAATGTAAGTTCGACACAGTTAAAAAGTACGCATCCAAAGTTAGACACTGTTAAAAAGTACGCATACAAAACAAAACAAAAACATTTAATTTAAACCCGCGAATTTTGTATACGTACTTTCAAAATTAAATTAAATTACGTGTTTAGCATCATAATTACAATTGCCTCTACGAAGTCCGGATTATATATTCCGCTTTTGTTAAGTATGAGTTTGAATAATCTATATATTAGTCTTTTAAAAATAATAAAGTGTGATCCACACTTTTATTACTTGTCTCATCCTTTTGGTATCCTACTCACCAAATTATATAATTGGTCTACACTTTCGATTAACCAAATTGAAATAATTTAGATAATTCCATCGCTTGAGAAAAACCAATGTTAGCTTATACTAATATGATAATTTCTCAATAAGTAGAAACTATTAATCTACTACTGCTTGATTACGATCTATATTAGATTTTCTTGGATTCATCTTTCTAAGATTTGTTTATCATTTTGTCAAAATTAAAGTTTCGGCAAACGTACGTAGATAGGTTTGATTAATAATCATTTTTGGACCTTATTATTTTATAAACACTTATTTTATCTGACATGTTTTATATAGCTTTTCTAACCGTTAGTTACGTACGCTACTTATATTTTGCATGATTTTATTTTGAAGTAAATAACTATAGAGAGAAGACTGTAACGTTATAAATAGGAAGCTTCTTTCAAAAAAAAAAAAAAAAAACGTTAGAAAAAGGAAGGAAGCCAATGTGCTGTGTCAAAACTCAATTTGTCTGCATGGATGTATACTATTTATGTTTAAGGTCAGGAGTTTGAATACTGAAGTGAAAAAGAGAAGTTGAAGTAATTGATCGAGTTATTCGCTTAGAAGTCACTTCCAGGTCGGCCAGATTACTACTTGGAGTTTGGTAGTGGATGTCACGAACATTCAAAGAAGCTCTCCTTGAAAATGGCCGAGGAATTAATCTTTGAAATGATAGCATTACAATTTGGAAAGAGGAGTTTGATTGAGCCCAATCCTAAACAACATTACAATTTCAAGGAGGAAAACGAGAAAATAAACTTATATATAATATGCTATGATGATTATGAAAATAAACAACATTACAAGTTCAAGGAAGAAGACGAGAAAATAAACTTAAAATTATAAAACGAGTATACAAAACGAAACCTAGAGCGTAGTAGAAATGACAAATGAGATAAGAATAGCAAATTGTAAAATGGAAGATATAAATGGTTAGTACATACAGCATACAAGGTTTCACGTTTGAAGCTGTCGAATAGGTTCGAGCAATCGAACAGCATAATGCATACTATATTTTTCTTATTAAAAAGTATAAGTTTTTTTTGGCTTTTTAAAAGTTTCTTAGTATAAAGTTTTGTAGGTAAGAAAATTAAACTCTTGAATCTTGATGCAGGATAGTATAATTCTAAAATGAAATCTATATTATAAATTCAACGGCTGGTTTATTTTAGGATAGTATAATTCTAAAATGCGTGTTTTCGAAGTGTTAATTTGATTGAATTATTAGGATTATTATTGACATACGAATGAATATAGGAGAACGTTAATACCGAAAGTAAATACCACCTCTACCCTCAGTTAGCATTTGTCTTTTACTCCAGGTGTCCGTTGCTGAACGGTTAATTCCGGTACTTTGGGCGGTGATTCTGATGTATTAAAAACAAACGAGAACCAAGAAAAGTTTCAATTATTATTAGTAGTATTAGTTTATTTTTAGGATTCTCTTTGGTATTAGCAGCATTAATACAAAATTATCATTATTTGACCAAAAACTATACGCACATAAATTTTAGAAAGTAAACATAATAAAGTCAGAGGATAAATCTTCAAGGTTTTAAAATTTTAAAAATGAGTTTCCTTTTCCATAATTTGTTTCCTCTAAAAATGGTTATTGGTTATATACAGAATCAATAAACAATTACTTTCATACACACAAATATTGCAAAACAGCTGGAAACTTGACTGTTTCGGAAAATCCCACTTCACATGCTTCATCGCTCAACAGCTTCCCAATTTCCTTTTTTCATAATATTCACTTACTCTTTTTAAAATTTATAATTTAATTTAATTCACCTTTTTTTATGTTCTCCCACTCTATAAAATGCCCTCCCAAATCCTTAATTTACCTCTTCCCCCTTCGCTCTCCAATACGTCACTCTATTCTTCATCGTCTTCCTTCCTCCTTTACCTTTTTTTTATTTATTTCTTTCTCAAAGTTTCTCGAGAAATTTAAATCTGTTGTGTGTTTTGTAATATTGATGTGGCGAAAATCTGGATCTTGATGTTCAAACATTCATGTCTCCGGTGATAAGTGAAATCCTTAGATCTGGGTTAACTATAGATTCGTCTCTTAGACGCAGGACCCATCTCGTTCAATCTTTCTCAGTCGTCTTCCTCTACTGGTTCTATGTTTTCTCATAAATCATCTCTCCTTTAGCCGTTATATATCTATATATCTATACTATACTATATATTATATCGATAATTCGGGTCCTGCGTCTTCATTTGAATTACTAGTATTTTGTGTGTGTGTGTTTTTTTTTTGAATTTGGGTTTTTCGAGAAACTAAAAAAATATGAATAAAACTGAAATGGGATCATCGACGAGCGGAAATTGCTCGTCGATTTCAACGACCGGTTTACAAAACTCCGGTTCGGAATCGGATCTCCGGCAACGGGATCTGATCGACGAGCGGAAGCGAAAGCGGAAGCAATCGAACAGAGAATCTGCGAGGAGGTCGAGGATGAGGAAGCAGAAGCACATGGACGATCTCACGGCTCAGGTCGCTCATCTACGGAAGGAAAACGGACAGATCGTCGCCGGAATCGCCGTCACGACGCAGCACTACGTCGCGATCGAGGCGGAGAACTCCATTCTCAGAGCTCAGCTCCTCGAGCTCAACCACCGCCTGAGTTCCCTTAACGAGATCGTCGATTTCGTCGAGTCGGCTTCCTCCTCCGCCGGAGGATTTGGGATGGAGACTGGTCAGGGTGGAGGAGGAGTAATCGATTGCGGCGGCGGAGGTGGATTTTACGACGGAGTAATGAATCCTCTCAATTTAGGGTTTTATAACCAACCAATCATGGCTTCTGCTTCTACTGCTGGTGATGTTTTCAACTGTTGATAAATCAGCTTCCCAATCGCCATCATCGTGAGAGAGAGAGAGAGAGAGAGACGAATATGATGACATCAGGTGCAAAATTGTAATTATCTTTTAGATGATGTGATGCTCTGTTTTACTTTGTAAGATAAAAACAATTAATTAGCGACTTAATCCGTGGTTAAAAAATAGGGTTAATGTGGATGATATCATGAAGATGGTGATGTTGGTGTTAATTTTATTATTTTTGTCTTTTCTTAGAGTTTCTGTTTTCCTTATTTGGGAGCATTTGTTGCCCTTATTAGAAAGATGAAACTTTGGCTATTAGTGAAAAAATAAAATAATGTGAAAGCTCGTGGACGGTTTTTATGAATGGTGGTCCATTTTAATACTATATATAAATGGAGTGTTATCATTATTGTGCTCTAGACTATATTGTCAAAGATGTGATAAATAATGATGCATTTTTAGTACTTACAGCAAAATGAATTATTATCATGGGTCACTTGAGTTTTCTCTTTTTCAAGAATCTTACGTACGAGGCACATGATCTCACTTACTCAATAATTTCGTTTTTATTTATATTTTGTAAATGTCAATTCTCATATCCCGATCAATTAATGTATGTGGGCTTGTGCATTATATGTAGTCAGTCTACTTAAATTGACATTCTTATATACAAGTTAGTAAGTTACAGCCCCCAAACTATACATATATTTTTGTTACCATCTGCTAGCGCCATAACCCTTTTGTGATAATTATTTTCTCTATTGATAAGAATAACTGTATACTTCTTTGATCCATTACTTGTTAATATATAGACTTTAATTGTGTGTAGATTAATAGCATCAGTTTTCTTTGTCTTAAGACTATTGAATAAGTTTCAAATTATATGTTCTAAATAAAATAAAAAGTTCAGTGAAGAATAAACTTCAACGGCTGAAAAAATAATGAGAGGTCCTCGCAACAATAACAAAAATATTCTAATAACCGGAAGAATCCATGCCTAAACTTATATACAATCTCGTGACTAAAATTAATCACTTCATGAGTTGGTTTAAGAAAAAAAACATTTTCAGCTCAAAAAAAAAAAAAAAGATCGTGTGTAACATTAAAAGAAAGAAAAAAACTGAAAGTTTCGTAACCTCTGTAAAATCATCGCCTGGAAGATACCTTATATAAATTTTAGAATTTATATCCCATACAGAGAGATATTCAACTAACTTTTTATACTATATATAATGGCAAGGATCAATTTCGTATGGCGTCCAATTACAAATGATGACATTTGATTAGATAATTCGACATAGAGATCACCCTCAACGTTCGTCAGGCACCAAACTAAAACAATACTTTACATTAACTTTTACAAATCTACCAAGCAAATAGGCGAAAGTGGTCTCTGATGAAATGATTAAATCAGAAACAAAAAAAAGGTTTTTTTTCCAATATCTGAAAACTCATATATGTTCAATGGATCCATATATCATGTTGATTAGCGATCTTGTCCTTATATGCTTGTTGCAAATTATATATATTATTATATATTTACTCTGTGTAAAGGAATTTTAAAATGGGGGCAAGTAGATGTTCGTGTCCCTGCCTTAGCGTAAGAATAATACTATACTAGTTCAGGGTAAATATTATTCTGGAGTATATTTCTTTGTCGCCACCGCAATTTATATTATCTTGATATTCCTTCTTTAAATCGAATAATACACGTACGAAAGGTTGATTAGAAACGATTCTCTAGATAGTTGCACCATTCGCTTCTTCAATTTTTTTGTTGGCGTGAAATTCATTTGTTACGATTATATTCTGTAAACACTAGCTCTTGGAATTATAAAATAAAATCAATAACTACTGGATGACACTGTAAACACTAGCTCTTGGAATTATAAAATAAAATCAATAACTACTGGATGACATACACGTTCGTAGGTTGTTAATGTCTACTCAATTATACAATGGAAAACAAAACAAATTAAAGTTACTGAGCTAATCTTTCCTTTAAGTCTGCATACGGCTCAAGTGAAGAGCATAGGTAAATGAAATCATTGTTTCGACTTTCGAAGGTCAGAATTTGTAAGACCAAATTTTCTATATTACGAAAAACATACAGAAATGATATGCTTTATAGATCTAAAGCTTGGCTCCAGAGATATTATCAAATACAATAAGAGATTGTTATAGTTAATATATCGTAAATGGTGAGATAATGACTTTTAAACGTTTAATAGAGATTGATTTGGTCCATGATCTACTCCGATTAAAAAAAAAAGTAAAACATTAAACCGGACTTGTTTACCTAAGAAAAGTAGTCGTGGGTTAATATCTAACGAAATTAAAGAAATAACCAAAGTTTCATTTCGCCTTTTTGAGATCATATTAAGTTTAGTTTAGATGAGATAAACCGCCTAAAACAGGGTGGGGATAAATAATCGCTGCCATTTACTTTGTAAAGGTTGTCGACCAGTCAAGAATTCTCTGGTCCAGGCTTGTTTGTAATGGACCCTCTCTATTTGGGCCCTCTAGTAACACAAGTCATTTAGAAGACCCATTCTTTAAATATTAATTTTTGACAATTAATAATCAAATCTATTGTAATAAAAGTTACAAAACAGCACTAGATGGACTTCCCGTATATTGGGGGGCAGGGCAAGATTTCATACCGTAAATGAACATAAAATATTTAGTTATATTTTTTTGCTAGAGTAAAATATTTATTTGCAAATAAGAAATATTAGTTTAAAGAAAAAGTAATTTTCAGAAATTAAGCTAATCTTTAAAAAATTAAACAATTCGTATGATTTTGTTTTTTGTTTTGTGGATAAAAGTTTGCAATAATAAAAACATGGTGCGTGCAATTGGTCTAACCTAGTTGCTGACAAGTTTTGGCATTCATACATTGATAATGATATTTAAGTCTAACTGATGAGAGTGGGTGGAACAAATATATCACTTGAGATGCGAGAGTAAAGAAGTTCTAGAAATATTAATAATGGCCATTAAAACTTTATTTATTTATTTTGGATTCAAAAGCCAGTATTTATTTAAGTGTTGACAAAAATAGTTATTTAGTTGTATTAAATATTTTTCTTGGGGCAGAAAAGTTTTGGCTTTTGCGGCTAATGGAGAAACAGTAACACGTAGAGCGCACTCCCCGTGGTCCAGAAGCCACCAGTCTCTCCTAATCAATTACAAAAAAATTTATACTATTAATTTAAAAATTTTGAGATTGGTAATTAACAATTCGTTATTTTTCTTTTCCTTACTGTCAGCATTTGGCATTGTTACTTAGTAAATTAAACTCTAATACCAATCACTTTACATGATGGTTTTATTTTGGGTATCATTCAATTGCTGATTCGGAAAATAGAAAACTTTACCATAAAGCAAAAGTAAAGAAAAAGCATAATTAAAAAAAAAAAAAAAAAAGAAGAAAAGAAAAGTGAGGAACGTGGCACAATTCCCCGTGCGTGTTTGATGTTTCTTTCCTCCCCAGACGCAGACGCAGACGCACCCAAAACTGCTTTGTCTTCCCATCGTCTCTCTCTCCCTCTCTCTCTCTCTCTCAGATCGATTTTGGTTGGTGCCGATCAACGGTAGTCTCCGCCGTTTATCCACCGCCGGAGGATTTTGTCTTCGTACGTATGCCTTTTCTTTATACGCCATTTGTGTTTTGATTCGTCGAAATATTCGTTGGGTCTGGTGAGCCTTTGTTTCCGCCATCGGTGTTGAATCTACCCATTTGCTGGATATAAAAATTTCAGATTTTCCTGAAGTGATTACGAATTGACTTAGAATTTTAGGCTGATTTTTCTTTTCTCCTGTGTTGTATTGTTAGATCGTTTCTCTGTGATGAATTTGGATTTCCGGGTTTTGACTCAGTTATTCAGGACTATGTGAGATACTTTCAGATATTTGATTACATGAAGATATTCACAAATTAGGTTATTCGGTATTTGAGTTTGCTTTCGAGATGTGCTTTCCCTTTGTTCAATGGACTTTTTCTTGGTATTTGAAATGGTTAACCTCCTTTAGAGGTTTTCATATTTGGTTGTAAGAGTTTCAGATCTTATTGGTTTCTTACCCTATCTTCGATCTAATTAATCAGAGCCTATCAGTTTACTCTTTTACCAGTTGAAATGAGTCTTATCCTTTTCCTTGTGTCGCTGCTAGCAGGGTTACAATAGGAAGATAAGTGGCTGTTACTGCGTGAGGACGTGCAAATTGTTTGGAAGTTGTGTTAAGCATTGGAATCATAATATAAAAGAAAGAGATAAGTGTCATGGGTTCAGTTTGTTGTGTAGCTGTGAAAGACAGAAAAGTTCCTCCTAGTAGTGGACCTGCAGGTGCAGCTCTTCATCGGAATGCAGCATGCTCGCCACAATGGAGTTTCCGACGTGACAACAGAAGACGAGTTGCTGATGAGATTGAAGGTTCACCTTATTACAGTCCGTATGTTGGGAGTAGAGGGATTAGCATGGATAAGATGTCTTTAGGCTCTGAAAGAGGAACTTTGTCTGAGGGAGGAACCCCTCCTGATGGCCATTTAGGGACTCCTGCTTCTCAGAAATCAGCGACCCCAGAAATGAGCACAAATTCGATGGTTCCACTTTCTTCAGGTAACTCGCTCAGACAACAACTATTTGGGAGCTTAATCTGATTATGATCTTACTCGTTAATCAGATGTCTGTGACCATATTCTATCTTGTAACCGAGAAGTAGTTTACTGTAATGATCTAAGCTTGCTTATGTATGCTTGCTCTGTCTTATCTCTTATGTTACTCATTTCTGTGCCGCAGATTCATCCTTGGCAAGCCATGATCCCATCGAGGTGAGATAATCTACTTTTCTCTAGTTTGAGCTTAATTTTGAGGTTAAGAGTGCCGAGTTTTTCCTTTTTTTCTTGTGTTCCTCTTAACCCGTTTCTGGCTATTCAATGTTTCAGGTGAAGAATTTAGTTGACTCATCGAGTATTGTTCCATCAGCTCTTCCGAAGCCTTTGTTCTCCACGCCTTCTCTTGCAACTCCTGTCTGTGATCTTTCATCGGCTCACACACGGTTGCTTCCTCCTAAATCTACCCCATCAAGACGGGCTCGTCGTTCACCCGGGCATCAGTTGTTTAGGCAGGTTTCCGATAGTCAAATTTTAGGATTGAAATCCCCAAATAATAATTACTCAGTCTCTGAAGGAAGGTCATCCTTTGTGCTTTCGACCTGTAGCAATGATTTCGCCACTGGTTCCCATTACGCTTCTTCTGAAGGTGGCTGGTCGTTGAACACTTTCTCTGAGCTCGTGGCGTATTCTCAAAGGGAGAGATGGTCTTTTGATAGTGAACACTTAGGCTCTGGCAGACGGAAACTTAGTGGTGGTAGCAGCAGATTTTCCTTCTCCCCTTCCATTGTCGATCAGCAGACTTGTGGAGCGTGCTCAAAGTTGCTAACCGAGAGGTCTTCTATTGCCACTTTCGAACTCCCAATTGCTGCTGTTCTTGCGTGTGGCCATGTTTACCACGCAGAGTGCTTAGAGACCATGACTACCGAGATAGAGAAGTATGATCCTGCTTGCCCCATATGCATGATTGGGGAGAAAAGGGTTGCGAAAATAACGAGAAAAGCTCTAAAAGCGGATGCAGAAGCGAAGGCAAAGCACTACAAAAGATGTAAAAACCGTGTGGTGGATAGTTACGGCGAGAGTGAATGCGATGAGTTTATGTTCCAGAAGACGAGTAGCCGAGAAGGAAAAGCTCTGAAGTTGGAACCTAGCTCTAGTAACAAAGGCTCGTCTAAGTCATTCTTGAAATGGCACTTCGCTTCTATCAGCTCCAAGTGGAGTAAACCCTCGTCCAAAGACTCTGCATTGAAGAAAGGGTTTTGGTCTAGACATCGTAATAACCGTTCTTCGTCAAGCATAGAGGTAAAGATCTATACACTGTGAAATGCCATTCGTGTTTTACTAGCTTAAGAGAGTTTTGAAACGGTCTCATAATAACCGATAATACACATTTCAGGGACTTAACCAGACATCTCAGCTTTGATGAAACCCCTCGATCTGGATCAGAGGAATGTGGGTTAATGTAGGAAAGCTTTGTAAAAAAACAGAAATTGAGCTTCAGCTTTAGCCTTAAGAGCTGTGTCTTTGACCTTTTTTTTCTTGGATATTTTGTGTGTTTCAGTGTAACCTATGGGGATAATTTTTAGTGATGAAACAAACTTATGATTTTAGAGAATTTGCCAGCCATATTTACAGTGTGCGATTGCTTGTTGGAGACATGGAACAGCATGACGTTTCTCCGATCTAGAATGATCATGTTTACAGTTGAAAAAACGTATAAAAGAACATGAGAACCAGATTCGCACTTGTAAATAATAACAGTAACAAAAAAAAAAAAAAATAGTAATTGTTCACACTTGAAAGTATTTGCTTATCCACCAAGAAGGTTTTATACACAAAACATTACAATATTGGCTTACCAAAGTGTACATAAGGCTCAATTTCATATACAAATGTAAAGACTAACACCTACAGTTTTTCACAAAAATCTAACTTTCATATATGCCACAACAAACATTACAGATATATATCGTGTATATATATACCCTATCTATAAAAATGCGGAAAGCGCGCGTTTTTCTTGCGCTTCAAGAATGATAAACTTTTCAGACAACAAAGTCATGTAACTGATGGGGATTAGAGAATCTGCCATCTTGCTGGTTTCCAAGGCCAATGTAGCGATTGTAATCATCGATACCAAAGCCATGATAGTTCATCAAACTGTCGTAATCTCCAGCAGCACGGTCTGGTTTCGGATCTGCAAAGACGAGGTTTTCTTCTGCATCAGATGTATATGCGATGTTGTTGTTTCCCTGAGTCTGTTGCTGCGAAGAAGCGTCTTCGTGTTTGGGTTGAGTCGTTTCCTGCATTTTGTTGTCTTGATTAGAGTTAATGGGTAACTCTGATGAATCTCCAAACTCTTCTTTATACATCTCTTCTATCATCGGTTTCCATAGTCGAACTCTCGCGTTAATGAACCAGTTTGCAACCTAAAAGTGTGTCAAGAACCATAGGAACCATTCAATTAAAAACCAAAGATTGACCAAACACCAAAAGTGAGATCTCGCCTTTTCTTTGTTACCTGGTTTTTCGATAGTCCTGTCTGCTTCGCCAGCATGATTTTCTCTGATTCCTTAGGATATCTACACAAAAAGATTGAAACGGTTATTGGTTAATCAAAGAGGAACAAAAGAGAAAGTGTCTCTTTAATTAATCAAAACACTTACGGATGAAGAAAATGCTCGAAGAGCCAAGCGCGGAGTATAGAGACAGAGTTTTCAGGTAAGCCTCTTTGTGGTCTCCAAGCTGGTCTTACCATTCCAAGCTGTTGATGCAAAGCTCTCTGTTGTCTCAGCCTCTGATCTAAATACCTAAGACGTGGTATCCTCTCTCCTTGTTCATCTGAAGTCTCTCTCTCCCCAAGCTTCCCTCTGATCACCTGAATCTGCTCTTTTATCGCATCCCTCAAGCAGCGGAAATGGCGGGAGATTCTATTCAGAGCTACCGATGTGTATGGCTTAGCTGCTCCAAGACCTGCTACCATCTCGAAAGACGAAGCTAAAGCTTCCATTTGATGGTAATATTGGTTATACTTTTTATCTACCTGCAGCCAAAAAAATTCTCAAATACAAAATCATCAACAACAACCAAAAGAAAACAGCTTATTCAAAATTTGTGGCTTTTTAATTTAAAGAAGTACCTCATCGACCATTGTCAAGAGCTTGTTCTTCTTGCTCTGAAGTTCTTGACGTTCTGAAGGAGATAACTCTTGCTGCAATTTCTCATTTGCTGTGTTGTTATCACTCGAACCACTAGTAAAGTCTTGACCTTTATCGTTCTTGGTCTTCTTGTTACTACTCCCCAATTTCAAATCTTTCCTGACACTAACAACTTCATCGAGCAATTGTTGTGTTGGTTTAAGGTAACGAGATCTCAGAACGCTACTGACAAACCCTGATGTCTCGTAACGGTAATTGTTGTAGAATCCGACTCCATTGTTGTAACCAGAGAAAGGAATTTGCTGCTCAGATTGAGTATGATGATGATGATGATGATGGCTCAAGGTCTTCCCATTCTCATCAGACAAAGAAGGATTCTGATTATTGTAATTCAATTGGTTGGACAGATTCTGGTAATGGTATTGGATCTGATTACCGAGGCTTAAGGAAAGTCCTCCACCGTGAAAACTTAGATCGTTGCTTGACACCGTTACGTTTCCGTTCACGTTTCCGTTGAGACCTGTGACTACGACGTCGTCGCTTGTTGGTGGGATAAAAACCATCTCGTTGCGTACACCACCGGAGTTAGGGATATCCAGACAGTTTCCGCCTCCGCCTCCGCCGCCGCCGGAGACTATCTCGGATAAAGATGCGGCGGAGGAAGAAGAAGCTTGTTGTTGTTGTTGTTGTTGTTGTTGTTCGTTGAGGTAGATGGATTCTTGGTACAGAGATTGCATGCCGACACTAGTTGGGTAATAAACTGCCATGGCTTTTTTTTTTTTGTAATCAAAATGTTATTACAGTGAGTCTCATCCGATTGAAGTTTTGTCTGAAAACGAGATTTCCTGTAAGAGAAAGAGAGAGAGAGAGAGAGAGAGACGTGTAAGTTTGAAACCGATTTCTGGATAATAAAAAGGAACAATCTTGAGAGGAGGTTAAAACATCGTATTCTCACGCCGCAATTACAGATGGAAAAATTCAAGAAAAAAATAAAGAAATGAAACCCAGAATTCCCCAATTTAGGAAAGAATTAAAACCCTAATCTTTACACGGAAGAAAGTCTTTTCCACTTCCATTTCAGTGACGCTAAAACTTAAGAAAAAAAAACAGAGGATGATGATATCATGAAAGATCAATCTATAAAGTGTTTATTTTTTTTTCTTTTTTTTTTCCTGATGATGATTTCATACTTTCATAAGCGATGTGGATGATAAACACAGAGAAGATGATAATTTCTTTTCAAAAAGGAAAAGCTTTTTTAAGAGAAAGAAACACAGTACAGATCAATCATAGCTTCGGATCAAGAAACAAAGAACAATCGATTATTAAAATACAATAAAGTAAAATCACAACCTGAGAGAGAGTTTAAAACCCTACAAAAGAGAGATTGTGGATGTGGCTGAATCAGGGAACACAAGAAAAGAGAAGAGCTTCGAATAGTCGAAGACAAAAAGAGAGAGAGAAAAGAGAAGAAGACACCCAATCCCAAGAGACGATGAATAATTGCAATTATAATAACCAAAATTCCTTCTTCCTTTTTTTTGTCACTCACAAATAACAGAACCAACCCATCTTATCATTGGAACCTCGACAACAAACCGCAGATTTTACAATTAATAAAATAATAATCTCTAACAAATATCAACAGTTTCATCATCTTTGAGAAAATTTGACAATCTCTACCAGTAATTATTTATTGTGTTTTATTCCACCGAAGCTTCTATATCAAATTTATCATTATATTATTAATTTGTTTTGGTATTTTCTGTGCCAACCATTTAGAGAATAGCACGCGTGAGCGGAATATTCAAATTTATTTATTTTTCTGTTCGAATTACATAAGATAATAGAGAATATTTTTACAAATACGACTTTGTATATGCATTTATATTTCAATCGATAAGCAAACTAATAATATTATTGAACCAGAACGAATACTGTGTTGTCATTGACTTGACTTGGTGCTTATATTCAAATAAATAGAATAAAAATAAATGAACACTTTTATTAAAAAAAACGAAGAAAAGAGTTGAATTTCGTATTGTATTTTTATGTTTGTTAAAAGTTTAATAGCTTGGACATAAATTCAAGCAACCGTTGAATGTTTTTACTATTAAATTTGTCCACCAAAGCTTAATTGATTAGTTAAGCATCTCAAATTAGTTGTGGTTGTGCTGATAAAATCATAGGTTAGTGTGAGCCAACAACATATGTTTTTTATTTCTTACATAATTGTGAATCCCTGGTTATAAGCGAACATGAAACATGTGTTACGTGACGTGATACTTCATAACTCAATAAATAATTAATCTATAGTATATTATTATGAATATGTAATTGTTAAGTTATCATACTGATCATAAACTCTCTATGAATACTGTAATATAAATCAAATAAACATTTCCTGGGGTATGTATCCTCTACGTGTTTTCTTGGCGTAATACATTGGCCATTGGGCACACATTTCTTATTAACTGACGTGCAAATGAGGAAACTGAGTAATTCCATTTTTCCAATTTTTTTTTTATTTTAAAAAAAATAGAAATGTCAACATATCAATGCGTAAAATATTGAGCTAATAAACTACAAAACTACCCCTAGATCTAGACAATATGAATTGCCAGAAGTGTTCTTTGAGGAAGAAGTGTGTCTGCTCAATTGCTTAATTGAGGGATTAGGGGGCCTTAACAACCAGTTGGTGACTACCCAATTTCCTTCCTAGTAACGAAAAATCCAATTATTTGACTAAGAATAAACATATTTTCTTAATTGATCAAGTAGTTACATACATACATACATATAAAGATCCCTATATATATATGACATTTAGAGTATTTTATTCATAAATAAAACAAGAAAAATGGAAGAGCATTGAGCTTTCTGATAGGTCGATTCTTTGTCCCATGGGATCTATGGAGGTTGTGTAATAATAAATAAAAAGAAAAAGTAGAATTGAAATAAAATGATGAGAAATGAAATAAATAAGGTAGATGTGTCGGACGCGAGGTTGGTGAAAGTAGCCAAAAATAAAAGACTTGGACGCGAAATTGCCTTGTGGATGGATGCTACCGAAGGAAGGGGAAGCTAACGGCTTTGTGTCCATATTAATAAATGTTTTTTTTTTTGCCTTCTCTAAATTTTGTTTTATTTATTTGTACTCCTTTTTATTATTTTGTTGAGTCTGGGTTTTTTTGGTAGATTGGAACAGCCGACACAAACCTTTCGAGGGGAATCAATGTGTTAGACACAATTATTTATGAGTGAATTATTTGTTTATTTTGGTTTTTGGATAAACTTAGTTTAGTGTAGGTTGATAGACGCCCGGTGGAATATGGGAAAAATGGACAAATTTCATGGATCAATATTTTAACTTTCAAAAGTAGGCTAAATGAATGAGATTTGAAATAATAATAATAAAAATATAGTATAACTATATAAGCAGTGATGAATCGATGATTGATGACTGACGATAGTGCTAAATGAGCAAATGGCGAGTAAGAGTTAACAGTTTTTTGTTTGTTTCTGTTGCGTTGGCTTTTGGGCCATACTTCTCAAATTTCTGGAGAAAAATGGAATCACACCCTCATATTCAAAGAACCAGTAGAGATATTAACGAAACTAATAGTTTTTGTTTGGACAAAAGCTCTTCACACATTTATTATTAAAAAACAGATTAAACATCTTTTAGAACACGTATATTATGACAGCTTATGAATATGATCATCTTAATATATAAATAGTCGCAATTGATTAAAAAACAATATATATAGTTGCACCGTTAACCTAAATTAAAAGAGTTTTTTTTTTTTGATTTTTTGTGAAGAGTTACTTATTAATGTTGTTAATATCATCAAACGTAAGAGTTTATAGTTATAATTAGATATATGTTCATTACAAATTTACAATGTTACTATAGCTTATAGATTGATATATATATATATAGTTTCATAAAGCTGTAGAGCTAGTGTCGTGCGAAGGTTTATAGGGACTTAAGGCAAACTAAAAAAATAGGGCCTTTTTCATTTTTAAAAAAAGGTTTTCTAACCAAAAAATATAATATAATTTTAAAATCATATAAAATATTCAAAAATAAAATTTTAATCTAAAAAACTAATTAAGACATAATCTTTCTTCCTTATTTTTCAATAAACTTTTTCACCAAACTCTCATAATCGAGATCCTTAACTAGTTTTCTTTCTATAGATATGATAGATAAGCCATTCAATCTTTCTTGTGACATAGTTGATCGCAACTAAGACTTTATCAACTTCAACTTTGAAAAACTTCTTTCAGCCAAGGCAACTGAAACTGGAATCGTCAGCAATATCTGATAAGCAATCTATGAATTTTTTTTTTCTCTTGGGCTTTAGGGTTTTGGTCTTATTTTAGGATGTTATAAAGCCGATAATCTAAACAAATCTTAATCAATTTCCTAAAACTATTGGGAGAATGTAATCTTAATCTATTTCCTATATCTATTCCTTTTTTCTCTCTTATAAACAAAAATAAGAAAACATCTTATGTAAAAAAAGACCTCATGCAAACCATAAACCATTTAACCACCTCTTAAGAAAATGAGGGCCCTGATAAATTAACATATTTTGGGGGCTTGAGGCGAAAGCCTTTTTCACTACATGGTAAGCACGGCTCTGCGTAGGGCGATGATAAAAAGTGTAATTCCACGGACTAAAAGATTCAGAAACATTGAATAAGGTGTTCTTGTTCTCTCTAATGTCGCCTCATTAAATGCTAGTTTTGTGTAGACCTTTAATCATGAATGAGCCTAAGATTTTGGAATTTGAGTTTGATTGTGCTGAGTTATAATTGATTTACAAAACTGAGTTAATCATTTTTGTAACATTGTTGAGTCAAAACTTAATTTAACAACCTGCAATATCAGTAGTTAAGATGTGGTAAATTAGTTATGTAAGACGATCTTAACATCGCACGTCGTTGCGTATATAGGAAAAATTATAGTTCTTACTTCTTATGCTACCAAAAAATTCTACAAATATGAAAACTCAATTGTTTGATTTCTTATAATTATTTTTCTAACATCTCGGAGTATTCATAGATTAAAATAATGAAAGCAGCCTCTTCTTACATCCTCATATCAATGGAAGCCAACTTTAACTGCATTTCATTAAGTTTAAAGCAACATTATAACCAAAAAAAAGTTTAACCAAAAAAAGTTTAAAGCAACATCCAAAGTTCAAAGCAATATTAATTAGTATCATCATCGAGAGGTGCATTAATAAATCTAGTCTCTTTCATACATTAAAAAGTGCAATCCCTAAATTTATACATAGTTTTGTGGTCTAAGCACCAAAAAACAGTAATTCATCGATGCACTCGGGAAGTTATAAGTTACAACTGGTCTCCATTCATAATTTTGATGACTCCCTTCCAAATGATAACACCAAGTACATGATATGTATTTTCCCATTCCTGATTCTTTTAGCATAATTTTGTTAATTTTTCTGTGATATAATAGTTAAAAAAAAAGGATTTGGAAATGGTGGAGAGAAACTACATATGTCATGTCGGATAGCGTTTAAAATTGTGAACCTGGATGGGAAAATCAAGAGAAAGGCGGTAGTCATTCGGTCATTGTAAACAATTCTTCACCAACACTAGCGTTACTAATACATCCGCAGCTTTTAACTGATATTTTTGCATTGAATTTACTTTGTATCAGGACTCATTTTTCTAGAAATTAATTTCTTCCACTTAGATACTTTTGTTTTTCGTCATTTGCTTTAATTTTTCTCTGATTCTTACTCTTCTTTGTTTTTTTTTTGTTTTTTTTTTCTTCTGAATTTGACGATTGCGGCCAAGTCACGACCTACACGTGATACTACAATTTTGTGTTCAAATAAAAGTTTAGCGATCTTCGGCATCATTATCCCATCCCTGATACCCCAAAATGAGTTTTTTAACAATATTTTATTACTAAACATAGATTAGGAAACATTCTTAAGAAACTTAATAGTTTTAATTTAATAGTTTTAATGGTGCATTGCTAAAACCGTATTGAGTTTCTTATAAAATTTTTTTTTTTGAATAAATATGTTTTATTTATGACAAATATAATTATTTGATAACAACATTCATAACATTAACACAATTGATAGAAAAATTTGATTATTAAATTAAACATATGATTATTAAAAAAAAAACATAGGATAACTCAATTAATTGGATAACTTCCTCCAAAAGTTTGCCATATATGTTCAACCAAATCCAATTTCAATTGATGATGAATTTTACTATCCCGTACTCTTAGTCGAGCAGCCATCATATTATGAACGTTTGATGGCATATTCGTAGAAAACGTATTATCGACACTACCACATTGGCTTCCTTCTCCTTGTTCGAAATCTAAAACATCAAGTAGATTGTATCTGTCTCTTTCGTCTTGTACTATCATATTGTGTAGTATGATGCAAGCTCTTAAAATCTTTCTGATTTTAGCCTTATCCCAAAAAAGAGCAGGATTTTTAACAATGGCAAATCGAGTTTGCAAAACCCCGAAAGCACGTTCCACATCTTTTCGGACAGACTCTTGACGTCGAGCAAAAGCACGTGCTTTTGCTCCTTGTGGAAGTGGAATTGATTGGATAAATGTTGTCCACTTTGGATAGATGCCATCTGTTAGATAGTATGCCAGATTATATTCTCTTCCGTTGACCGAGAAATTTACTTCCGGAGCTCGACCTTGTATGATATCATCAAAAACAGGTGAGCGATCACGCACGTTTATATCGTTTAAGGTACCTGGAAGTCCAAAAAATGCATGCCATATCCACAGATCATATGATGCAACCGCCTCTAAAACAATTGTGGGTTTTCCTGAACCTCGTGAATATTGCCCTTTCCAAGCAGTAGGGCAATTCTTCCATTCCCAATGCATACAGTCGATGCTTCCTATCATTCCAGGAAATCCACGCTGCTCTCCCTTATTAAGTAAGCGTTGAAGATCTTCTTGTGTGGGTCTTCTTAAGTACTCATCACCGAAGGAATTTATTATTCCATCAACAAAATGTTCCAGACATTTACGACTAGTACTCTCACCAAGTCGGAGATATTCGTCCACCGTGTCAGCTGCACTACCGTATGCCAAAAGACGTATAGCTGCTGTACACTTTTGAAGAGCGGAAAGACTAGACCTTCCGAGAGCATCTTTCTTCTGTTTAAAGTATGGAACTTCGTTGGAAAGTTTCTCCACAATATGCATGAACAAAGGTTTGTTCATCCTAAAACGGCGTCGGAAATAATTTGCAGGATATGTAGCATTCTCACTAAAATAATCGTTCCATAATCGATTATGGCCTTCTTCGCGCTCTCTCTCGATGTAAGCTCGTTTTTTTCTTGACCTGGGTGCCTCTTGGTGATCTTCATACTGATTGCTCAGGTTTTCATAAGTTTGATCAAAAACGTTTTGGAAAGTTTGATTAAAAGAATCATAGAAATATTGATTAAAAGCATCATCAAGTGATCCTTCATTATTGTTATTGGATGATGAAGCCATAATAACAATAGAAATAGAAGAAGAAGAATAGAAGAAGAATAAGAATAGAAACGATTAAGCAAATAAGAAAAATATTTTGGAGAAGATGATATAGAGAACAACAATAAAAGAAGAAGACTGAAATATGTTTGTTTCCTCAAACCGTTTATTGCAATTATATAGACAAGCCTAGATAATTTTTTATATAATTTGTGGTGCTGGAATCCAACATGTGGTGTCAAATGACACAAAATAAAGAATAAAAAGACATGAACAACATGACAAAAAGCTTGTGACCGTTCTTTGTTTTCTTGTGCCCACCACCATTGCAATTATGTGCCGACCCAAACTCCTTTTGCTGTAAACCATTCCCTGAAATTAAAAGCCAATATGAACACGTAAAGGAAGCATGACCACATGTAAAATTATGCCCTTAAATTTAAAAATACTCAGAACTTTCAAATACATAAACAATCATTCTTAAACTTGTTAAAAAAACATAACCGATCATTCTTACACTTGTTAAAAAGTCTTAAAACAAATACTAAATTACACAACAACAAGTTCATAGGAAAAGCCATTACCAATACACGAGTAAAACAAACTTAAACAGAAATACGTAAACTAAATTAAAACAACAAAAAGTTCACGTCAAACAACAACAAGTTCACATCATTTCGCTTATCAGGTTCTTCTTGAAATCTTCTTCATACTCAGTAAGGGTTTCTTTTTTCCCAAGGAGACATTGAAGTATGACCAGTTTAGACATCTTTTCCTGATGAGCATTGTCCCTCTCCTTTATTGTCCACATTGTTTGGAACTCAGCCAATGGAACCTTCAACTCTTCAATGCTATTTTTTCCCTTTGCTTTAGCAGCCTTGACTCCTATAGGTCTGCTGTTGCCATTGTCTTCTTCGCAAGTTTTAGTTGCCTCCATCTCTTCAATGCCGTTTCCATCATCCAACCTTTTTCTTTTGGAGTACCCAGCATTTTTACTAGATGAAAAATCACACCATTTCTGGTCATTTTTTAGCTCCTTCCATGCATGCTCTAAAGTGAACTTCTTCTTATGAAGAGTAGAAAATTTCATGCGCCATTTTGAGAATATCATTCTCATTCATCCCAGATGTCCTCTCTCTAGTCGCCGCCTCATAAGAACCACAAAACTTGCTGACCAAGTCATTGATTTTCTGCCATCTTTGCTTACACTGGATCGCAGAAGCAGGCTCACGGGCTTCACTATCTTGACAGCTTCCAAAATAGTTGGAAATTCTTTGCCAAAATGCCCCACACCTTTGCTCATTTCCAACAATGGGGTCTTTGCTTGTGTTAAGCCAGCCGCTGATGAGCATCCGCTGGACTCCATGTTCTCCTTTCTTTTCGTTGTGCAGGGGAAGCTTCACTAGGGCTTGAAGGAACTGCTGTTGTGTCTTCGCCAAGGCTGAAGACACCATCGCCTTGACTGTTAAGTAACTGGACGAAGTTACCACTTTGCGAATATGGATGTGGTGAGTTGAAGTCCATTTTTGGTCGATGAAGTAAATGAGAAGAGAAGCAGAAATGAGAAGAAGAAAATGACAAGAAAAGCAGAAATGAGAAGAAGGAAATGAGAAGACAAGTTGAAAGAAAGACTTGAAACAAAGACCTGAAAAGAAGAAGCAAAGTTGAAAAAAAGACTTGAAACAACAACTTGAAAAGAAGAAGCAAAGTTGAAGAAGCAAATAAGAAGGAGCAGAAGAAGCAGCAAATGAGAAGCTGCAAGAAGTAAAAGCAGATGAAAAACACCTGCTTTTATTACCGTGAAAGGGGAAAGAACATTCAAGCTCTCTCTAAACCACCGAGACATGACATCTAGCTAACCAACATTAACAATGCATTCAAGAGACAATCCATTTATTATGCATTTACCAACATTCAAACTCTCTCTAACCAAACAATTACCTAAGCCTAACTAAGCATTTATTACTAACCAAACAAATCACAACAACGATCAAACCTTAAAGTAAAACCAGAACAGATATGGTGTAACAGCTGTATCACCTTCTTCCCTCAGCAAGTGAATACCATGTGGTAAAGTCGTCATCTTCAAGACCAACATGTCGGAAAACGCTGTAGACCTGAAAAAAACTGCAGAGTTGCCAAACTAAGTCATATTTGTTCCAAATAAGAGCTGGTTAAGTGCTCTCAATGAAATTACCAATGAACTAACACATGAAAACGAATCTGTGACCAAAGATAGACAAGAATGATGGCCAAGTTCACATCCACAAGATTGATGGAGAACATATATGTGTATATCTGTTCAACTTCAAAGATCAAACCGAAATTTATACCAGAAGAAACACAGAAAGATACCAGAGAACTCCCAAATCAAACAAATCCTAGAGAATATTAAAACCCAAAACGATCAGGCGATCAAAAGAGAAAAATTGGTACCCGACGATTCAAGGTGGTGGGATCATGCCTAGACCAGAACAAATCAAGGAGTGACTCATAGCTACAGTCTTTGCCAGACCATAAAAACATAGTCTTCGTCGTCTCTCTCATGCTCTCCTTTGTCTCCTCTGCAAACACCATGGAATCATCACTCTCCGAATCTTCACCAAAATCAACGAAACTTCTTTCTGGTAGACTCGTCTCCAAGTTCGAGTAGGTTCTATCTCTGATCACCATCTGATTATTCGATTCCGGTAGACTCGTCTCCATGTTGTTGCTGATGGTTTGGGTTTTTACGAAAGTATTCATAGTTTGGACATCAGAGACGAAGAAGAGATCCAACATTTTACTGGAAATCAACTGAGCAATTTGGGTATTTATGAACCTAGACCAGAACAAATCCCGGTGCCGGAGCTTCGTCTTCGGGACCCTGTGCGATCGGAGAACATCGGATGTAATTTGGTGGAAAAGAGGATGTGTCGATGAAATTTGGTTCTTCGTCAAGGAGAAAGAACATCAGATGTATCGATGAAGGAGAGTAGTTTATTTGTTAAACCAATACTTTTATGCCACGTTGCAATAAGAAACACTTTTATTTGTTCTTAAATAAGGATCAATTTTTACTCTTTACATTCATTTTCTTATTTTTTTTATTTTTTTTAATTGTTTAAAAAACCAAATGAGTTACTGCGATATTGATGCTCTTAGCTAAACAAGTCACACCTACACGCTACACGAAATGATACCCACAAAAGTGTAGTTACTGTTTTACTTGAATCTAAATATAATCTAAACAAAGGAAAGCTTCTCGCCGCGTTAGCGGGTTTAAAAGTCCACTTAACCTTCTCGCTGGCTCAGAGGGATGTCCTAAGAAACTGAAAATGACGCTCTCATAAAAACGGCATGACTTTCTTCAAGAATATCGTGAGAACGCCAAAACGGCGTGAATTGCAAAGCTTTAAAGACCAAAATTCCTTTTCGAGGCTCTCTCTGTCTCTCACTGGCTTGACCCAGAGACCCCCAAAAAAAGAAGTAAAAAATGATTCTTCTTTGTAGCGGTGAAGCCTTTGATCTGCTGCGACAGTGATCCAATTTTCTCCAATTCTCCTTTCGATCAATCACAGTAGCTTCTACGCCGGAATTAGTTTAGAAGTCATTAGCTTGTTTGACACCCTAAGAATAAGATGTATCTGTAGCATAGGAAGCAATGGGGAAGCCGTCGACGAGTGTCTGTAACACAATGCAAAGGAAGAGATGGGCTCTGATGATTTTGTTGGTTCTCTCTGTATCAACCATTGGGGTGATTCTAGTGAGATCTAGCTTTGACTTCTGCAGCGTTGGTGGTAAGATCAGCAGCCACCAATTCGTCGAGGAGAAGTTTCGGTCAGCTCCAGAACTGCCGAATCCTCTAGGATTCATGAAATCGAAGCTCGTTTTACTAGTCTCCCATGAGCTATCGCTCTCAGGTGCTGATTTTTGATATGGGTTCTCCGTAAAAATCAATTTTTTTTCTGAGACGATGATGAATTTTGTGTGACAATAGGTGGACCTTTGCTGTTAATGGAGTTGGCGTTTTTGTTAAGAGGAGTTGGTGCTGAAGTTGTTTGGATCACTAATCAGAAACCACTCGAAGCAGATGAGGTTATATACAGTTTGGAACACAAGATGTTGGATCGAGGAGTGAAGGTTCGATTCTCGTCTTCCTTCCAAATTTACCCATAGACTGCATAATTTGTTGTAAAGATGTCATCTTGGGCTTCTTGTCAAGCTTGAAATCAGGGACTTCTGAAATAAAGGAGTATCATTTACTATCGATTGACCAGTTCTTTTGCCTTTACTTGAACTCTCTGTCTCCAGGTCATCTCTGCAAAGGGAAAGAGAGCCGTAGATACAGCTCTCAAGGCTGATTTGATTGTTCTAAATACTGCCGTGGCTGGGAAATGGCTCGATGCCGTTCTCAAGGAAGATGTTGGCAGAGTTCTTCCCAAGATCCTCTGGTGGATTCATGAGATGAGAGGTCACTATTTCAAGGCTGATTTGGTCAAACACCTCCCGTTTGTTGCAGGGGCGATGATTGATTCCCACGCAACAGCTGAATACTGGAAAAACAGAACTCAGGCTCGCCTAGGGTCCGTTTCTCTCCTCCTTCACGCCATTGATATACAGAAAACTTAAATGTTTATGTAGAGTGTTACCACTTACCACCATTTCAGTTGTTTTTTCTCTTCTTATAGCTTATTACTGTTTCATGATTGTTGAAATGCAGGATTAAAATGCCCAAAACCTACGTAGTGCATCTAGGAAATAGCAACGAATTGATGGAAGTAGCTGAAGATAGTGTTGCCAAGAGAGTTCTCCGTGAGCACGTGGGGGAATCTCTTGGAGTGCGGACTGAAGACATACTGTTTGGCATTATTAATAGTGAGCCATCTTTTCTCTGAAACATCGTCTATAAAGGGGTGTATTCCCCTGTTACCAAAGAATCTACTTAGTAGTTTGTTATCATTTCAGGTGTATCGCGTGGAAAAGGCCAGGACCTCTTCCTCCGAGCCTTTTACGAAAGTCTTGAAATTATCAAGGAGAAGAAACTTCAGGTACCAACAATGCATGCAGTAGTTGTAGGAAGCGACATGAGCCGACAGACAAAGTTCGAGACAGAACTACGCAACTTTGTCCAAGAGAAGAAACTTGAGAACTATGTTCACTTTGTCAACAAAACCTTAACCGTGGCTCCATATGTAGCTGCCATTGACGTCCTTGTCCAAAACTCCCAAGCCAGAGGAGAATGCTTTGGGAGAATAACAATTGAAGCCATGGCCTTTAAGCTACCTGTACTAGGCACTGCAGCCGGAGGTACAATGGAGATTGTGGTGAACGGAACGACTGGTTTGTTACACAGTGCGGGTAAAGAAGGCGTGATGCCTCTCGCCAAGAACATAGTGAAAATGGCGATGCAAGTTGAGTTACGGCTAACAATGGGGAGAAAGGGGTATGAGAGAGTAAAGGAGATGTTTTTGGAACATCATATGTCGCATCGAATAGCTTCGGTGCTCAGAGAAGTGTTGCAACGCGCAAAGGCTCGTGCTTTACGATGAGATATGAGATCATTGTAACTGGATTTTTTTTTTTTTTTTTTCCATCAGCTGATTCATGGGAATGTTCTTTGTGTCTCTCTCGTTAGCTTCCATGGAATCGGGTTTTACAAAGGAGGCTTTTTGTATAATAGTTGTAGCGAAAGAGTCCCAGTTTGGGCAATTTTTAACGAAAAAATTAAACGTCTCTCGATCTTTCTTATCAATTTACAACTTTAACGCAGAGAATAATGGTATGGATTAGAAGTTGAATGGTTATAAAATAGCCGGATTCCATCAACCAAAGGTTAGAATATTTCAGTTGTGAAAATAAACGGGAAGTAAAACAGGTTCTATCTCGTTTTCATTGGAATGGTAACAAAATCCGCTTGCAGAGAGGGAAAAACCAAAAAAAAAAAAAAAGCAAAAAACTTCAGAATCGTAAAGCTTCTTGATTGTAACTTCAAGGCTTTTGTAGTTCGCTTTCGTCCTCGTTATCCATCAAAGCTAAACATTCATGTTCTTGTCTTTGTTTAAGCAAAACAGAACGAAATCTTTTCATTAAAAACTGTCTTTGCAGGGATTCAGTGGAGTAGATATGCGTCACATATGTACTGATACAGGGATGTTAGCTCTACGTGCAGATCGTGGTTACGTTTTCCCCAACGATTTCATAAAAAGATAAATAAGTTTCTGCTTATTGTATGATGTTTTATCTATGATTTGCTGCTCCAATCTTCTCATCTTTTGATCAAAACTAAAACGTTTTTTTTTTTCAGGCTGTGACAAAACTAGGCTAAACGAAGAAACTTGAGTCCAGTGCACATTACAATGCTGATTTTTGGAAAAAGTAAAGATAGACACATAGGGAAGAAAAGATAGAACTAAGTAACAAACTCATCAAAAGAAGAAGAAGCATAGATCGACTGATCGAGTTAGATGGCGCGAACCTCTGTTCTGTTTTTTTTTCTTGCTTTTCAGTCAGTTTGAATCATCATTGCCTTCTCTTTGCATGGATTCATCTGAGGAATCTCCAAACTCCTCTCTGTACATCTCTTCTATCATCGGTTTCCAGAGTCGAACTCGAGCATTTATAAACCAATTTGATACCTTTGACCACATACAAACTTATCTCAATCAGAATCTTCATAGAAAACAACTTAAAAACAAACAAAAAAATGCAGGATCTGATTCAGAGGAGTGTACTTGGTTCTTGGAAAGCCCTGTTTGAGACGCCAACATCAGCTTCTCTGCATCATTCGGATAACTGTTTCCATTACAACAATCAAAATGTTATTTCTCCAACATTTTACTTCCATTTCTACATTTAAATTACTTAAGCAGCAAGAAAACTGACGGATGCAGGAAATGTTGAAAGAGCCAAGCTCGGAGAATCGCAACAGAAGTCTCGGGCAAGCCTCTGATTGGTTTCCAAGCATGTCTCTGTGGTCCTTGAACCAAACCGAGACGTTGAAGTGATGATGAAGTGTTGCCATCGAACAAGCTGAGCTGTGACAAACCAGAGCTGATGATCTTGGGAACAAGATCTTGAGAGATGATGAATCTCCGACGAAGAGAGCTGAGCTGAGAGAGTATGGCTTCTTGGAGGGAACCGAAATGTCGAGTCATGGCTTGAAGAGCTAAACCGGTGTATACTTTGGATGACCCTTCTCCTGCTATTCCCTCAAATGAAGAAATCACTTGCTCCAATTGATTGCAGTAAATGTCAAACCTTTCTTCTACCTGTTGGAAAACCGGGGGAAATAAACCGGATTTAACCAGGGAAAAAAGTTGAAACTAACACCAAATCACAAGATCATTATGGGATAATTAGGGGAAAATCTTGAAAAGATCTAGATTGTGAAAATAGGCTAACTCTCTTAGAAACAAGGAAATATTATAGTTTTATTTAGATTTTAGGATCCAATATTTAAGTTTTGGAGTTTAATAAGTTCAAACTTAGAAAAAAAATTGTAGCTTCTAAAATATGGACTATTTTCATAATTGTGCCGGAGATTATAAAAGTGACTTAACCTGTTGCAACGAAACTCAGATTATAGTGACTTACCTGTTCCAACAAACTCAGAAGCTTAGAGATTTTGATATGAAGCTCATGATTCTCAGGCAAAGACATGAAACCTGAACTGCATAGTTCGGATTTAATCTGAGAGGACAGTCCAAAACAGGACCTTCTTCTTCCTGGAAACAGTTGTTGGATAAGAATGTCGTTGCAAAGCTCAACCTCTCTACCACCTATATCGATAACTTCTTCCAAAAGGCACCGCACTGCCTTGACGTATCTTGAGTCCAACGAAATACTTGTTAGAGATGAGAACTCGTGTGTTACCCTAAACTCCTCCATCTTCCTTTTACTTGGAGAGAAAATAAGTTCAGAACAAAAGAAATGAATATAAAAGCTTTGTGGGTACTGTTACCTTTACTGCTTTCGCTCCACATACATAAATATGCAACCAAGAAACAATATATATATTATTCATACACTCATATAAGTCGGGGAAGTATAATATATATTTTGGTCAAAGGAAAAAAAAAAAGTTAGTTGACTTGTAGCGGATTAGCTTTTGAAGCCTATATACATACTAGGCAGTTGCTAGTTACTATTATTAGTAGTCTATCCGAAGAGTACCTCAAAATTTATAGCGAAAATTAACTCAAAATTTTTTTTCTTTTTTTGGTTCTAAACTAACCAAAGTTTTTTTGAATAATATTATATCTTAAATGGACTTTATTTTTATTTTTATTTTTGTAACCGCTGATGCACTTGATTGCATATGAAAAACCATCTGAACAGGAGAAATTGTTCGTTGATTATGTGTTGTTTACGAGGTAGACCATATCATTCTACTAGACGTGTATTATCATATATATTTTATTGAAATTACAAAAATATTTGACGTAAAAACACTATTCTAGGTAATTATCAGTGGTCAAAGCAAGTTTATATTCAATTATTGTGTTAAGTATTAGCACTGAAGACTTTGAAAGCACGAAGCACCTAGAGAGTAAGAGCCAATCCTGCAGCCTGCAGCAAAAGCTCATGACAATACACGGTCTAGAAAAATAATGGTGTATTGTCAAATAATTACTTCCTCCTACTAGTAATTATAATTAGTATGTAAAAATTGGCAAATACATAAAAAAACCGTACGTTAATTAACACCACTTCCTTGTCAAAAAAAAAAAAAAAAAAAAAGAAGAAGAGAAGGAGTTGAAATATATATGGTCCCTCCACTGATTGGAGCACCAAACAACAGGCTTTTGGCATAAATGCTTCTTCTAATCTTGCATCAGTACCTACAATCCCTTTTTGAGCTTCTAACTTTGTTGGGAAGTTCAAAACCAAAAAGAGAAAAAGACACACACATGCAAACAACAAGTACTAATTTCTATATACTTCTTTTCTTTTCAAACATTAATATCTATATTTTAAAGAAAGCATAATATATAACATGAAAAATAAACTACTTTCAATTGTTGTATAAAAAATGTTAGTACGACTCCAAATTTACATCTTTCCAAGTTTTTGTTATCAATCATATTATTATGCAGATTCACAAACATGTATAGTCATTCCCTTTCGTTATTTCATTGACAAAGTAAACAATTTTTCAAATTCAAAGGGTTTAAGTTGAAAATGATATGCCGACACACATTAAAAGTTCAAAGTGATAGATTTCTAGCTCGTATACAACACATGTTTCTTCACGGCCCTTTTACCAAAAAAAAAAAAAAAAACACATGTTTCTTCACGTTAGGCCTACTTTACATTCTCATGAGAATTTTAACCTCATTGAATGACAATGTACAAAATTTGGTAAAAAGGGGAAAATTTTCGGTTCAATCAGAGTCTATTGTTGCTATTATTTATTGGAGTTTCAGGGATTTTGTCTGCGTGTGAACCATAAAGGCAAAGGAACACAAAAACTTTAAGACTAGTACGTGTATAAATTCGTTGATTAGTAGCTGCTAATTAGGACAACTCGGTAGATGTGGAAAAGACACTGCAAAGATCTTCAAGACAATGCTTTGGCTTCTTATTATTCCTACTTCTACTTGCAACACATCCAATGCCAACGGTCCACTTTGAGTCTTCGACTTGTGACCAATCCGTAACTCTTTTTTTTTTTTTTTGCTAAAACCTATCCGTAACTTCTATTTAATTTATTATGATTTGTACTATAAGGTTATAAACACTATTCATCAGTCATCAATTTGATATTAAAAAAAAACTTTTATTTTGCTCAACAATGACTACAAATTCAATTTATTGATTATTTTTTTCAACAATTTGGGAAGACACATAACATATTTCAACTGCAAATGATGATGGTAACGCAGGCAGAGCTTTGTAAATTACTATTATACCACTGGACCGTTTCACGCAGCAAACTTCAGCGGATCCTGGGCTGCATCGCTGACACAAAATAAACGAAACGGTCATAGATTGAAAAGCGAAAGACAGCCCACGTGGCATCATCGTAACCGTCCCATCTCCCGATCTGAATTATCTGATAGAGAGAGATGTCTTATGATACAGAGGGTTACAGAGAGGCCCCACCAATCTGAGCCATCCGATTTTCAATTCTTCCTCGAGCCTTCCTTCTTCTTCTTCTTCTCCAAAAGGAATTGATTCATCACTTTCTCTCTGCATCTCTAGAAAACCATGACAAGTTCTGCTGCTCCTTCTTGCAAGGTTCCCGTCTCTCTCTTTCTCTCTCTCACAATCTCTGTTTATTTGTGTGTGTGTCATTGACTTTTGGTTTTGGAATTAGGGTTTTTGACTTTTTTTGTGTGGTTTTGAACTTGTTGGGAAACTGCGTAGGCACTGAGCAAGATCGCATGTAATCGGCTTCAGAAAGAGCTTATAGAATGGCAGAGGAATCCACCCACAGGGTTCAAACACAAGGTCACCGATAATCTCCAGAGGTAAATCTTTGGTTTTGCCAGCATTTGACTCCTTACAAATTTTGGAATTGTGAAGTGAGATTGAAGGATTACAGATGGATAATTGAAGTTATGGGAGCTCCAGGGACTCTGTACGCTAACGATACGTATCAGCTACAAGTTGATTTCCCTGAGCATTATCCTATGGAATCGCCTCAAGTGAGTGCTCTAATTATATATAAGTATCTCAAGTATGCTTAATGATCAATGATTGAACTTATCACCTTAGATTATTACTCTGTTCTCTAGCTGACTTGAGTATAAATTTCCCCTGATAGTGTTTTCTCACTGTACAGGTGATTTTTCTGCCTCCAGCTCCTCTGCATCCTCACATTTACAGCAATGGGCATATTTGCTTAGGTACGTGATTTTCCTCTGTTTCTGTTACCCTCTTGCTTTGGTGATTACCATCTCTATCACTTTAGATTCTATTGCCTTTATCTGAAGCTTGATCTGACATCTCAACTCGCTTCTGTGGTAGGAACCAGATATATATTAGGATGTTTGATAAACACATAGTTAATCTGATGTTATTTTATATGAAAATAAAAAAAAATTCAATAAGACTTGTTTCAATTGCTACTTGAGGGTGAGACTCAGTATGACCTCAATATTACATGTACATTTTAGATGCTACACACATATCATTTAAAGATCCTATATACAGAATGACTGAAACGTTTGGATATTTGGCCTTTCCTGCATTTTTATTGTTCAAGAGCACATTTTTAAACATAGGCCACTGACCAAAGAAGAATCTGATGTTGTGTATGATTTGCAGATATTCTCTATGACTCGTGGTCTCCTGCCATGACGGTGAGCTCTATCTGCATCAGTATCCTCTCCATGCTCTCAAGCTCGACGGAAAAGGTATACTTAACAGCTCTTTAAACTCACCATTATCTCAACTCTGCTCTATCTGCTCTTCCACAAAGCTAAACCTTCCTCTCTCTCCGTTGGTTGCAGCAACGACCGACTGACAATGACCGATATGTGAAGAATTGTAAGAACGGAAGATCTCCAAAGGAGACTCGATGGTGGTTCCACGACGATACAGTCTAAACCATCCATCAACCATAAATGTATAATAACCCGAAGCAGCCACGAGTAGGTTTGTTTATTGTGTAATTTTGAAATTTTAACCGGGTTTAAAGATGTCCTAAACCCATTTCCAAGAATCCGTTATGTAAAAGAACAAAACAATAAAATTTGACTAATTTGAATCTTTCTACTCTAGTTTCTTTTCTTTTTTAAAACCCTACTAACAAAAGACCCCAACCTAATCTCTCTGATGCTTCTCTATTAGGTCATATATATACATCAGGAAGAATTATATTCTCAACAACTACTTTTCCCCTCTGATTTTTTTGTCACCACGACGCCGACGAAGAAGACGGTGGAGGAATTAAAGACAAAGATGGGTTGTGAAAGATTCTTTGACCTGTTGCGAGGATATGTCGCGGATCAAACTCAGCCTTCATGCTTCTAAACCGTTCCCACTTGTCCCCAAAATGAGCCACCCACTCTTCCTGTGTTGCGTGGTGAGGAAGGTACTGCTTCACGCTGATCTTGGCTTTATCACAGAACTCCAAGATCCGACGGTTCTGATTTTTCAGATACTCTAGCTTCTGCGTCTCCTCACCGTCCGATAAAGCTGATCTCAGTAGAGCCACCAGGTAGAAAACTTCCTCATCCGGCGTTACTGCTGAGCTTCTCTCGTCCCATCTGTCATTAACAACATATTTTCGAACACGTCAGCACGACAACATCTATAGTTAATTAATGATGATGTGTTGGGAGGGTCGTTGAGATCGGTTTGGTTTTGGAGAATCCGATTGGGACCCACCACCATGAGTTCTAGGAACTAAAAAAACAACAAACCAATCTGGACCGTTCGTTACAAATTGGACAACGAACCTAAAGAGAAACACGAGCCAACGAGACGTTATTGTCAATCTTAGCTGTGGTTTGATTCCATGCAAATGTTTTTCGGACAATCCCATGTACCACGTGTCGCTAGTTATTTACAACTTAATTTTTTTTGGACCACTATAATCCCCACAAGATATCCAAAAAAAAAAAAATATCCACACAAGTGTAACTTTGCATGCATGCAAAACTCGTTTTTTTTTTCTAAAAAGATATCAAGAAGTAAATTGTAATATTGTGTCGAGACTTACTTGTCGTTGTTCATTGGGTAGATAAGGATAGGGCCACTTGTTTTATTTCCTAAGATACCCTTGAAAACGCCTTTGTCAAAATCAGAGATTCTTGATTTCGGTACGAATAGGTTGAGCCATGGGTGTGGAACCTCCCATAAATTCTTGGACCGGAGCTTCAACTCGGCCTTGTGAACCCGGTCAAGAAAGTCCACATACTGCAGATCCGTCGTGAACACCGATGTTGGTATAAAATTCAGTTTCTTCATCAAAATCTCTACTTCCTGAGTTAAAAAAGAAAAATCCACTGTTAATTTATTAAATCTGGAAAAGGAAAAGGAAAAAGCAAAATAAAGTTCAGCAGGGGAAAATTAAAAAGCTATTTTGCTATGAAAGCCTACCAAAACCAAGAATAAGTTAAGATTCCAGTAGAGTTGGATTTATCAAATTTAATTAGAGAAAAGAGGCATCATTATTTGGTGAGTGGTCCATGACCCGTCCACTACTTAATTAGTAACATGATTAATTCGCTAGTGATAGACTAAACATAAGAAAAAGAAGAAATTTTTTTTTATGTATATTATTAAGTTCAGGTGGAAAAGCTAGATCTCTGTAGATCCTCTCTGGCTTCTTCTTCATGTCCTCTTCCAAATTTGAATTTATAATAAAGTCGACACAACAAAAATACTATGGAGACCACACTTTCAATCATATAAACTAAAAGAAAACCAAATTCTTAATCATGATTTCCCCCAATAATCGCATAGCGTTAAATACTTCCAGATATTCATCAATATAAAAATAAAAATATCTCTTTTATCTGAAATTAGTGTGCAAAGAGAGGAATTTGATAATTAATACGTACCTGATCGACGGTATCGGAGTCGGAATCGTGGTAGTTCTTGGTGATCTCAAGGCAATACAAAACGGAGCCGTTAGAACTAACGGAAGATATCTTGACGGGGTTACGAGGAGAGAAGAAAGAGGATCTCCAATTGTTGACGAGACCTTCGTCAACAATCACAAACCCTTCCACGTAATCAAACTTTAATTGACCGTGCATCGATATCAAGTACTCTTGGTCCTCCGTAAACACCTTGAAGCTCGAATACAATACTCTAATCCATCTCACCTGCCATAATACATCATTTAGGGCTTTAAGTAACATAATTTTGATATTTATAAAATCCTTTAAAAAAAAAACAAAGGCCACCAACAGTGAAAAGGCTATAACTAATGGACCCGTCAAGAAGTTTTATTACGTGACAACATAAAATCAAGTTTTTTAAAAATAAATTTACCCTTTGGGGAGCAGGTTCGAGAGAGATTCGTGCTCTTGTAATGATCCCAAATTGACCTAACCCACCAAGAACTCCATGGAATAGCCTTGTGTTCTGTTCCTCTGAACATCTCATCACCTCTCCTTTCCCTAATTTTGTTTGAATATATATTTTTTTGTTATTAACACTTCAACTAATAAAACCAACAAAAAAACTTCAACAAGATTCAACCAAAAAAAAAACCATGTTTATGAATGTTTTATACTAACCAGTTACAACGTCGAGCTCAAGGACGTTACTAATCTGAGGACCATGGTGAAATGCTTGGCCGCTAATTCCTGCATTGGAGAGCGTACCACCAACGGAGAGATACAAGTAATCAGTCCATGACTTTGGTGCTAAGCCATACTCCAACGTTTTCTTCAACACATCGACCCATAACTCTCCACCCCAAACGTCCACATACATTTCCTCCGGTCGGACGAGTGGCTCCGGCGTCCCGGTTTTGCGGTGGTTCATCTCAACCACCACTCCGTTCCTCCCCGTCGCGGCCTGGCCGTTTATTGAATGGCCGTGGCCTCGGGCTGAGATCGGGAACGCCGTGGCTGAGCCGTAAGCTGTTCTGACGAGTCGGGCCACGTCTTCGGCCGATGATGGATGAAGCACGGCTAATGGCTCTTCCGGCGACTTTAACATACCAAAGTCCGACGAGACGGAGGCTAAGTCGGAAGGATGGAAGGTGAAGTGGCCGTCGACATTTATGGTTCCGATTCTGAGGAGTTCGCTCGGACCAACGGCTATGATCAGTGTACATATAGCGAAGAACGTCATGAGAAGAAAGCTTGACGTCATTTCACGATTCATCAAGAATCAATAACAAGAATCAAGATTTGTGTCTCTCAGGACGCCAAAGGGGAAGGGAATATATAGCAGAAGAGAAGATATGATAATACTGTTTTCGATGATGAAAGATTTTATGGGGAAATGAAAAAATTAACATATATAGGAGAAGATCCTTTGGGAGTTCGTGAGAGCTAACGTAAGCCCAGATTACGCTTTGAAGATTTTCTGAGCAACATGCACAGATTCTCTCTCTCTTTTATTCGGTTTGGGTGAAAAAATTAATATTATATATAACTAGCTTTTTATCTTCTTCTTTTTTTTATCGTACAGATTTAACGAGTTTATGCATTTATATGTGTATGTCGAGAATATGAAGACAAGAGGTTCTCTCTATTTATAGGACAAAGAGTTGTACCGGAGAAGATCACGTCATTTTCTTATTTAACAAATTCATCTCTATTAATAAAAAATAATCGAAAAAGGACCGTGTGATATCTACGTGTCAATGTGTATTGTTTAACTATACCACACGTAGTATATACAGGTATTGTATTTTTTTCAGCAAGACATTGTACTCCGACGACATACGATTTGACTACTTCAAAATTGGCGGTTTTGATATAATTTTGAAAAGAAAAGAAAAAATGTGTTTGTGTTTGTAGCTAATATAACCATTGATTTGATTATTGAAAAATTAGCTGAAAAAATTAACTTGTGTTTGAATTTTTACACTACAATTAAATATGACATTTTGAAGTTCATTACTGAACTTTTTTTATTATAGAAGAATGAATTTAAGGCATTACTGAAAAAAAAAAGAAATGAATTTAACTGCAAATTTAGAAAGGAAGAGAATGGGATAGACTGGTTTCTATTTGCACCAAAAAAAAAAAAAAGAGAAGAGAGAATGGGGTAGAGAGAGTCATGGGGAGAGCATGGGAGGCATGGGAGAGAAGGATGGAAATAACGCCACGTGGATATTCACGTGGGAGAGGATGAGGTCACACGTGTGTGGTGAAAGAGTGGGTCCGTATGTGGATACGGAGAATCCTAGTGGGCCCTTTTTCTCCTGAGATGAAGTTCACGTGGTGACTTGCACGGTAAAACAAAAACAAAAATATCCACTATAAAATAGATTATTAGATAACAAAAAAAAAAAAAAAAAAAAAAGAGAAAGGGAAGATAGATTCTTCTTCTGCAGTACTTTGCAGTCGGTAGATCCTCTCTTTGGCTGCCTCGAGAAATTTATAATATTACATTTTTATTTTCAATCTTAAAATCAGAACTCATTTGAAGTATTGATTATTGAAGATATGATTCTGTGAATGATGCTATATTAGTAGGTGTCTAGGTGAGGTCAAAAAATGGGTTTAACAAGAAATTGACTCCGTACGTGGTTATTTCTTATTTAATTTTGAAATTTCCTTAGCTACTTTTCGTCGAGTGACTCGAGTCTATATATTATTAATCGAAACGACTAAAATAATATATATACAAATTGGTCCGATTACTCTAATTCTAATTCAAATATTTTGACGTGAAGTCACTTATTATTTAGAATGATGAGGAAATCTAACGCCTAGCTAGATTTGATGATAATTAGTTTGGTGAGTTGATCTGGTACTATATTTTTCTATAAAAACAATGAAGAGCAAGTTGGGTTCTATTTTATGCCAAACCAAACATTAATACCTTTGCACGATATAGAGATTGATACGTTTTACCAAATTCTCAGATCTCATAATTGCCAACTTGTTCTCATGTGTTGATTTTTATTTCTCTCAGATTTTAGTCTATATATTACCAAATAATACAAATAGGATGCTCAGTAGTAGTATTCACTTTCTATTTGCGTTGCTGAGTCGTGTAAATAAGGCTTTATAGACTAAGTTGGCAATTTCCATGCCCGTTTAATATATAAACACATGCCCGATTGTTATACAATTTCCAATATAACATTAATAAATCATTAGCGCCTTTTATAGAACTACAGAAGAAAGATATTTAACGATTAGTTTAACACGTAATATACAGTTACAACTCCTAACAAATTTAGATTATGCGACATTAATTAGAGCGAAATATATTACTCATTACCACATGTAATCATCTAAGCACAAAATACAGTTAATTTTTGTGAAGCGGACGTACTATTTGTGTGTTCAATTCTACAGCAGTTATTTTGTGACCAATATCCATATTGAAAATTGTGAAAATGTAGTGATAACGATATATGCCCAGAAGAGGACGCATGTGGGGGCCATCATGTTTCAAATATTTGTCGGTTCGTTTTTATGTTTTGTACCATTTGTTTGTAAATTAATCAGTCAATAAATAAATAAAAAATTGATCACCCAATGAATTAAAAAAAAAAACAGACAATTTGCTGGATTTAACAATGATCGGACAGAAGATAATAGATACAGGGACAAACACGCACTAATCGTGTTGCGTTAACATCATAATTAAACATCTTACTGAATGTATACATTCGATTTGTTTTGTGGCGAATCCCATAAAGAGGTAGCCTCAGTATGTTGTTTGTGTTTTCCCTTAAATTCTATGATTCATCATAAAAGAAACAAATGATTAACTATTCAATCGAATCGAAACAAATGGTTGGGAGGATATTCTTCATGGGTTTACAAAGTAATTAATTACCGAAATGTTATGTTTCTGAGTTTCTCCATATTAAATTAAATAGTTTTTAACATAATTTTAATATCTTTGATATAACTTCCAAAAAAGAAAAATATGTAGTGACAATGGCACTATGTATGTCTGTGTGAAAAAGAACAAAAAAACATTCTAGAATTTATAATGTTTGCATCTTGAAATATGGTCCATATTCCATATATTCATTTATAATATATAGTTAATCTGGATATGCTGTGAGAAAATGCTGACACTTTTTTCGTTTAACTGTGACCTACAGAGAAAGAGAACAAACGTTTTTCGAGATTGTGCATCTACGTTCAATTGCTAAACAATTTGTTTCTTTGGTTATGGTACAAAACTTGAACTTGCATCGTTTATTTCATTATTTAACACTCACCACTTTTTGAACTATCATTTAATTCTTTAATCAATCTATTTAAATCGTTGATAAATTGTATATAAACTAACTACTACTTCCTCTGTTTCACGAAAAATGTCGTTTTAAGGTTTTATTTTTGTTTTACAAAGAATGTCGTTTTATATTTTCAATACAAGATTTTAAATAATATTTCAGTTTTGACTCTATTAATTTAATGTATTAAATTAGAAAAAAGAATATTTAATATATTAATAAAAGATAAAATGATATTTTTAATAATTTTTTTAATAAGTGTGACACTTTTTTGTGGAACGGAGAGAGTATAGGATTGGTTGTAGTTCTTTGTGTGATGCAGTGATGGAGAGAGAAAGAGCTGAAAACAATTTGTAATTCCTCACCTCAAAAGAGGAGACCGCCACATTATTACGCATTTCCATGGAATGTTTTCTATTGGTTCCCTCATCAATTGTATAAAATTACTCTCCAAATCGGACCAAATCTAACACTATTTGGTACACAATATTCCCTCCTTACTCTGATAGATTGCGTATCAAAATATTATACCATTACACCTTCTTTTTTGTTGGTTAAAAAACTACCCTAAATTATTAATTACTTATATATATATATATATCACCAAAATGCAGTTAATTGCTATCGGTTATGTTTGATCTAAAGTCAAATATATATATATATATATATATATATATGACCTTCACGAAAAAAAAATGCTAAACCCACGAGTTCTACCCTTTTAAACAATAACAATTACAAATGCGTGCATACATACTTTTATGAAGTATGATGGAGATATGAGCAAGAGGTTAATAAAAAGAAGTAAATGAAGGAGAAGTCGTAATCAAGCAATAAAAATGAGGACAAATGGTGGCGATAACCTAAAAAGGAGATCACACGTTAAAAACAGTGGACGTCGACCTAACACTCTTCCCTCTTCACATCCCCATCGTTTACTTCCTTCCTTTGCTATTTATTATTCTTCCATTTCGTTTTTATTTTTAATAGTTCTTGGAAGTACAAGATGTATAGTATTCTTGTTCTTCATCTCTTTTTTTTTCACCAAAGTCTTCGATTATTGGTCCCATGATCTTTTTCACGTCTCTTTTTTTGTTTTTTTTTTGTTTTAAAATTATTTAATCTAATTTTTAGGTTTGAAGTACGCCAAACGTCCATTATTTATTTTGTTACACAATTTAAATAAATTATTTCCAGTACTCTCCACTTGAATGATGGTAAGTCACAATATGGATTAGCCCACTGCCCACGCTTCTCTATTATCTGAAAACAAAGTATAATTTGACCTAAACAAGGGTCAAATAATCTTTTTAATTCATGTATATATAATTTTTGTGTGGAGTTTTTTTTACAACTACCCCGAAACAATTTATGTATTTTACTCTCTAAAACTGTATTTTTCTTTTAGCAAAAAAAAAACTGTATTTTTTCAAACCCAGACATCTGTTATAAAATTCAGACGATGAAGATAAGTCAGTGCTTACTCTCTTACGTGTCAGACCAAAGGAACTATTGTAAGAAGAAAAATAAATATTTTATGAATATGACGAAGAACTCCATCGTTACTTTGTAGTTTGAACACTTTTGCTCTAAAGTCTAAACACTCTGCCTCGTCAAACTTTTTATGCAACTTATTTAATTATTCCTTTGGTTAAAAAATGAGTATGTGTAAACTTTATCGTGGCATCATCGTGGTTCCTTTTTGAGTTCGGAACCATCTTTTTCGAATCAGTCTCCTAGCCAAATAAGTGGTTAGCAAATTTTGTTCACAAATTTATATTTATACGTTATAATATATTGAATGGACCGGACCGTATATGCTATAGAATTTCAAGTTTTAATTAATCATCAGTGGACCTTACACACAACTGTCACTTACGAGTTTTTTGTTTTTGTTTTTGTCATGAACCAAACATATCCACTTTCCCATGCAAAAAGTGTCCCGTGCATGATTTAATCTTAAATATTTGATACATCTGATCATTTTGGTCAAGATATTACTCGCCATCAGTGAATAATTTTCTCTTAGATTACATATTCACGTTAGGCTTCCTATAAAGATAATGACTTATTAGTGTCCGTAAGAAAAGGGTTTCATTTAAAAATTAATTACGCGATCGCCCTCTAATCCATCGAATTGATTTGGTCCAATATTTAATGGAACGTTTCTAAAGTATGAGTTCTTCTAATATAATATTATTTTTTATCACCGTGGAAACGATTATTGAAGCCAGTGTCATCTATTGCTCTTATTTACGACGCAATGGCCAGACTGCACAAGACACACGTATCTCTATATAAATATCATATTACATTATATTTCATAGGTGAAGAGATCAAAAGATAGGTCTATATAAGATTTTTAAGAATTTCTTTAGCTTCATTTTGTTTGATATTTCAAGTGTTATGCTTAAGTTTAATCTGATATTTAATTTCGTGACCACCTTTTGTATTTATCTTATTTATTGATTGATTTATTATAAGTTAAGCAATAAATGATGTTTTTATATAAAATGCAAAAAAGAATCTGTTTATTCCTTTTAAAAATTTATGAAACAGATATAATATTTAGTTGTAAAAGTAATCAATGGGTGGATAATTAGTGTCACGTGAAAGAGAGAAGTGGAGATGTTTGAGAAGTATACAAAAGAGATTCGTTAAGACTTTTGAAAAAGTGAGAGCGACAGAGCAACTTAGTGAGGTGAGTTCCCAACACTTTTTTCTTTCTTTCATGCTCATTTACAGCTCAACTTTCCTTTTGTTATTGTTTTGTTTTTTTTTTTAATTTCAAAACACTTTTTTATGTAAAGACTGTATCATATATTCTCTGCATTGTATAAAGAGTGCTCTTTTGATCATCTTTATTCAATTTTAAAAGAATAACATTACGTGTTTCGAAATATGTTTTTTTTCACATTTATTTCATGTTTTACCTTATAAAAAATTACATATAATACTACTTTATTGTAATTTATATTCGTTGACTAATAAAATATGTTCTTCCTTGTCTTAAACTTTAAACTTACCCAGACATATGATATAAGACTATAAGTTTGAATAGTCGTAAAGAACAATCAAAGATAAGGCTTATATGTCGTAACTTATTAACATTCCTTTGTACGCTCAACATTACCTGTACGTAACTTATACGTCGTAATTATAATATTATGGTGGATGTGAACATAATAAATTCAAGAGAAAGATGAAAGAAAGAAATTTGATTGGGACATCGAAGATACGGAGCCAAAGGGATTTGATTCGAGATCTTCACTATGTCTGCCTAAAAATGGTTACCGTGTGCACCAACAAGTTTCACGATACTCTTAACATATTTGGCAAACAAATTTTGACCCTTTTTTTTGACAAAAACAAATTTTGACCCTTTGAAAATCGAAGAAACAACATGTACTTCAAATATGTTAATTGGCGTTAATCATTCATTATATATCTCTTTGATGATATTCATTTGAACTGCTATTTTCCCAGTAATTACTTCAAAGTGTACCTCATATACAATCGATCCAGTTATTATTTCCCTTTTATCTATCCTAGAAAATCAGTTGTTGGATGAAAAAAAAAAGAAGAAAATGAGATGTCACATTTATTGGTTTACTCACACCTTTTTGTTTGTCTTTCTCGCTTAAGTTAATCGTAGACTAATTATTTCAATAAATAGAAGTCCTAATTTAAGTGTGGATATTTGGCGAATCGATAGATCCGCATGAATTAGGACTAGTAATTGATATCGTTTTTAGTAAGAACTAATTTTATGTAATAGCGATTTCTATTTGTTATTTTCATTTTTAAGAGCGTCGATCTAACTTTCTCCTCAATGACATGCTTCAATAGGATTTCTAAGTGAGAGGTAAAGTAAGGAAAAGGCATCAGACCTTGCAGATACTCCAAGAGGCAAGGAATGATAAATCTTTCAGGATTGCCTAGAATAACCTTGAAGTACTGAACAGTGTGGACTTTTATTTCCGAGTAGGAGACAAGCTTACGACTCAAATCATCCAAGAGGAAGTGGATATGGTTCTTTAAATTCCTCTGGATCATCATTTTGTGGAAGAAAGCTGTATTTCTATCTCCCAGTTCAAGCCACTTTACTCTTGATCTCTGTCTCATAACTAGCTCAGTAACTAACTATTTGAGTAACTGAAAATAAACTTTGACCAAAAACAGTTTTAACTTTTTTTATCGTAATTTCTTACCTCTAATTTTATATTCTTAACTACTTTCTTACTTCGTTTAACCAAAAAAAAAAAAAAACTACTTTCTTACTTCGCTTTTATATTTTTAACTTAATGTTCCTACTAAAATTTCCTACTGTTTTGTATCACCTGATAAATGTGAGATTCAATGGAACATTGATCTTATTAGGGCCATCAATCGTCGTAAAGGGGACCTAGCTAGTGCTTCTCTATTTTGTGGTTCTGCAATTAAAACATACACATCAATAGTGATTTGTTCTTTTTGGTTTTTCTTTTTCATTGTCGACCTGAATTGAGAGTTTTGGAATGTACCTAATCGATCAAATTAAAAGTTTTGGAGCAAAGCTAAAACCCAAAGCCTCCTCCATCGACATAACACCATGGCCAATCGTTTTAAGAAAATATCGAAAGTATCTAAAAGAATATTAAATGCAATGTATTAAATCGTAATGTAGACTCTTATGATACTTTTGTGTTGGGATACACATCACATCTTTCTGTCCTCTAAATATTTATTTTTTAGAGGCCGCCAACATATAAATCTGTTTTCATATTAGGTGTTTGTGGAGTGTGTCTACGTTGTGTGGTCAAAATTTATCGGAGTTTAATAGAAGTGATGGGAGTACCAATAGTATCAGTGACATGCATAAAACTAACATTTTTCAGGAAAAAAATAGAACTATATTAAATTCGAAAGTTTACATACTATATACTGTATTTGTATTCACGACTTCAATCAGAATAAGTAAAAACAAAATTGGAGAAACGTAATAATATTTTTATCTAATCTCTATTGGAATCTGTAAAATAATATTTCATATGATACAAACCATAATGTTTCACAATTATATATTATAAAGAAAACACACCAAAAAGTCGAACTATTAAAATAAAACATATACACCATCTTATCATACGACAAAACATGGCATATGCTTTGTTTCCAAAGCTCAATTATAATTATAGTTTTATCATTATTGGCTAAACCTTGAGATGAAACCACTGATTTCGCTTTCCTACGAAAGAGATAATTAGGTTTGTTTCTGTAAATTAATATCGAATGAATTTGCACATTAATGGTTTTGTCGCAAGATAGACAAACAATTCCAAAGCCCACGTTCCTTGAACTCGTCTTTATCCTAATACACTTCTATTGGTGTCTCCTAATCTCCCATTGATTTAGACTTAGTTAATGAAACGAACTCTCAGTTCAACGAAATATCATATGGCTGCAGCCTGCAAGTATTGAGATTTTTGTAAGTTTGTTTCAGCCAGTGGAGATTCAACATCATATATGGGCAATTTTGTATTATGGGGCTGATTTGAATAAATAGCTTATTTATGGGCCCTTATTCGTTTTATCTTCGATATTTTTGGGTTTGATTTGCTCAAATTCTTTCGTCTAACGGCATCTCTGTTGGAGTGAATGATGTTGAGAGGTTTTAAAGCTGGGCTTGTGTGAGTGAGCTTCATACTTGAGATAATGGGCTTCAGGTCTAACAATTGCTTCAGCCCATTCCATATTCTGCTTGCCTTTGCTCTGTTTTTCAGGGGATGTCATTTTTCCATATTCTGTTTGCCTTTGCTCCATCATTTGGTATCAGAGCCGTGTGTTCTTTGATTTCTTAAACAAAGACCGATTCTGGTTGTTATGGTGAGTCAAAGCATCTATTCTATCCAGGACGAAAGTCTTTTTGTTGAAAGAGAAGAAAACCATGAGATCTATAGAGAGATCTATGGTGATCCCATCTTCGACATATATGATGAATATGTCATGGTTGTAGACTTCGTCTTCCGAGAAGGTGATTTCAAGAATCTGACAGGTGCAAAATCCGTTCGTGGAAAAATTGGGCGACATCACATTAATGTGAAAACCGAGCAAGATCAGATTTGTGCAGAGTTCGAGGTTTGTGCAGAAGTCGTGCAAAAGTCGGATCGTGCAAAATCCGGGTGGTTGCAGATCTGCGAAAAATTACAAGTTGGTGCAGATCCGGTTTGTGCAAAATCCGTGCAAAATCCGGTTCGTGCAAAAACAAAACATCCTCAGCAAGAAGATCCAAAACCAATGTGGAAAAACCGGTTGAAGAAAATTCCTGATGCAGCGAGATATTTGGAATATATCTAAATATATTTATTATTTTATATATTTAGATAATTACCATTTATTTGTATTTTAATATTTTAATAATTATCTTTTAGGATTTTTTAAGATATTCTAGAATTTCGAGATTTATTATAAATAGGTCGTTTAGGCTTTCTATTGTACTCAGTTTTTGATTTGATTAATTAAAGGAGTTTTCTTAAAGAGGTTTTGATAAACCACTGTGAAGAGTATTCACAAATCATAGTTTTCGGATATTCTCAGAATCAACGGATCTAGTTCTATCTCTATAAGCTTCCGCTCCATCATTTGGGATAACTGGATAAGAGAGCGACTAGAATTAGAAAACATTAATCTATTGACTCCGCCATTTATATCAAGTTCGGAGATTCTAATGCCAGTATTTGCAAAAAAAAATTCCTTAAAAAATTTCATAATATCGTCGTCTCACAATTCATACGAAGAGATACCAAGAAATAACGTATATGTACGTTGATCCAACACGTCATGAATAAACTACCTGACTTCTAGTTCTAGTGTGGAAAGCTTCGGGTCGTTAAGAAGGTTAAGAAGAGTGTGAGATCACGTGCAATGCACGAGTGTCAGTTAGTTATTAAATTGGCAATTAGCTGGGGTTTAATGTATGTACCGTTGAGTCGGTTTGTGATTGGTTCAAATATGAAAACCAACTCATTTGTTCATCGTATAGATGGATCGGATCGAAGATTACTCTCGCCGGTTTTGGGTGAAGTCGTAAAGTAATCTCTCGAAATAAACCGTCAACAATAATTTATAATTAGATAAATAAACACGTGGCATTTAAGTGGATAATATAAAGTCTCTAAACTCGTGGATATTCCACAGCTTCTTCCTCTCCTCTCGTTTATTATCCACAAAAAAAAAAACTCAATCACTCGAATATCTCTACTAAGCGACATGCCAATCATTATTTCTTTCTTTAAACCCAGGAGAAAAAAAAAATGATTTAACATCTAAATTTTAGAAAATTTGCGAAAGTTTTGTATCTTCTTCTTCTTCTGTTCATCGATTATTTCGCCTCTGCAATGGCGCTTCCACACACAGTCTCTTCACCTTCTTCGACTTCGTTATCTCCATCTCCTTCCTTCAAATCCAAGCCTCCGTTTCACTCGTCTCTACCACCGACCTTCGCCTTACGGAGTAGTAATCGCCGGCGGCTGTGTAAACTCAGCTCCTTCCGATGTTCATCATCATCATTCTCCGAGAAGCACCACAACAACGCGAACCCTAAGAAATCCGACGACGTCGTGGAGCTTCCTCTGTTCCCTCTCCCGCTCGTCCTCTTCCCAGGCGCAATCCTCCCTCTCCAGATCTTCGAGTTCCGTTACCGAATCATGATGCACACGCTCCTCCAATCCGATCTCCGATTCGGCGTCGTTTACTCCGATTCCGTCTCCGGATCCGCCGCCGAGGTCGGATGCGTCGGCGAGGTCGTTAAACACGAGCGGCTCGTCGACGATCGATTCTTCCTGATCTGCAAAGGACAGGAGCGATTCAGAGTCACGAATCTCGTCCGCAAGAAGCCTTACCTCGTCGCGGAGGTGACGTGGCTGGAGGATCGTCCTTCGGGGGAGGAGAATCTGGAGGCGTTGGCGAGCGAGGTGGAGATTCTGATGAAGGAGGTGATTCGATTGTCGAATAGATTGAACGGGAAAGCAGAGAAGGAAGTGCAGGATCTGAGGAGGAACCAGTTTCCGACGCCGTTTTCGTTTTTCGTCGGAAGCACTTTCGAAGGAGCGCCGAGAGAGCAGCAGGCGTTGCTGGAGCTGGAGGATACGGCGGCGAGATTAAAGAGGGAAAGAGAGACGTTGAGGAATACACTCAATTACTTGACTGCTGCTTCTGCTGTCAAAGATGTCTTCCCTTCCTCCTCTTAGTACACACTCTGTGTGTTGCTCTATTCTCTCTCGCCTTTGTCAGTGAGTGATTACATATACGAAATATCTTTATGAAAATCTGCGAACTTGCTAAACTGTAAGTAATGGTTGTAAATTATGGTGAGTATTAGATGTTTGGGATTTTGATATAGGATTACATGCAGCTATAAAACTTGATCATAAAAATGTCGTGCTTCTAGTTCTTCTTGAGTGGAAGCGTAGATTAGTCTGTAAAAAACTCTTGCATCGACTCCACAATTCTGGATAGACTGAGTTTTGATAAGCTCTGAGAGAGAGATGTTTGTTCACTGATCGGGGAATGTGGTCATACACAGAAATATTAGCTTAGGCCTTAGTCTCAGTTTCTTTGGGCATGTGAAACTATTGGAATTGGTTAAATTGCCTCTGGTGTAAGTGACTTGTGACTTGTGAGCGTTGTAGAACCCCTCATGTAGAAAAAAATGGAAACTTACAAATGGGTCTGAATCATCAGCTTGGGCCTAAAGATTGTCTCGGTGTTTTTTTTTTTTGTCGATCCATTGGATCAACGTTAGGCGGTGGATTGGAATCAGTTGCTGGTAACCGCTTTATAAAAAATACTAGCTAGATGCAACCAGAGCACCTTCCGTGGGAATTGGAGGAAGAGATACTCTCTCTGATTCCACCAAAATCTCTATCTCGATTTAGAAAAGTTTACCATGGTATCTTCATTTTTATTTATTTATAAATATATGTTTATTTATTTATATTTAGTAATTAGTTTACTTCGGTGCACATCTTCATTTTTGTTTTATTGTTAAAATTTCCTTATTTGGGCATTGCGAATGAGGCTCCAATAGAGATTAGCTCTCGTCCAAATCGTCCGTGTAACCCACCAGTTGTGTCGCACCAACATCTGCCGTGAAGCTGAAAGGTACTTCATCCACGTCCCCAGTAACAACACCATAAATATAAGATTTTGTCCTACGTGAGGTGACAAAGTAGAGACTGCTTATGTATCCAGTGGGATTAGACTTCGAGCAAGGCTTGTGTGTGCCCCTCAAAATCGTTATGTATCCGTGGATTTTCCCAAACGGTCAAACCTAACATATATCAAACAAAACAAAAACACCAACATATATGAATTAACCCGAATACAAAAAATACATACATAAAAAACGCATTTTTGACATAAACAATATAATTAATAACAATTTTCACATATTTACCAGAAAAAAGTTTCATACTTACGGAAAACATTTGAAAGCTCAATTTTTTATGTAGATTTATTTGTCTTCTATATGCAACAATACAATGCGTCAGTAGATAGTATATGATAAGATGATATCATCGGAATGAGACAAATTCACGATTTTATGACAATAGGTTTTAGTCAGGAGGTTTTATTTATTTATAGATGCATTGCAACGTGTTTTCAAAAATTCATATATCTCCACCTACAAGACCACCACAGAAAATAAATATTAATTAGATACAAGATTTTTTTTTTTTTTGGTTTAATGGATGCAAGAGTTTCGATCATATGATATAATATATATCTTAATGTCACGTATAATATATAATTCGATCATATGAGTTTTTAGCGCATATGCATCAGCTAATTTATATGCATTGGCTAATTGGCTGATTCTTTCTCAGGTATCGGAAAAATTGTTGTTGAAATATGGCTATCTTTGTATTTTGGCTAAATCATTCATTAGATTCACTTAGTCGAAACTATGTTTATTGAAAAAAAATCTATAAATATTGCTCAAAAATCTTACGCTTATTGCTCAAAAACTTCAGAAATATTACTATTATAAGAACTTTATAATATTTATATATACACACTGATAAAAGTTCTATCAAAATTGTAATTAAAAATGTCTCTAAAATTTGATTTCTGGTTTCAGTAAGAGTTGGGCCTATAGCTGGTTGGAATATGCACCGTGGTAGAAGTGTAGTTTTTTCCACTGTGTAAGGCATGTAAGTGCCTCTCATAGCCGTGATATAACCGTGGTAATGGTATCTTCCAAATGGTCCAAACTGCAAACATTTAAAAGGAATATTCAGAAAAAAGTTAAACACTTAACGTAACCTAAACCAACAGTATTAAACAAACAAAAACAAATAAGAAAATAACTCCACAGATAGCACAACCAAATAATAACAATCTTTTCGACTCACACTCACATAGTCACACAAGTACAGAGGTCGAGAGACGACATTTTCGAGAAAAATCTTAATGTCATGTCCTCTTGCCTTCAACTTCGCCCTCTCGCCTCTTTCCCGTTTCCTTCTCAAACTCTCGCCATTTCCCGCCACAAACCTCTTAACATAATTAAACCCTTTCTCAAAAAAAAAACAATTTAACATCATTGCAAAAGAAGTTAACATAATAGATAATATAATATTTTTAAGTTTTAGCATATTCAAAAAGAAGTATAACATATTGTAATCCAAAATATACCCGACAGTCGACAGACGTATAATCTCTTTGAAATTGAACTACCTTAATCTAAAATATCTTACTTTAAGAAGTTAGATATTTTTTTTTTTTTTTGAAGTTAGATAAATTGTAACGGAGCTTTGTAGTTATCGGTTAAAAGATATGAGAAGAGGCCGCCTTTTCACGTGTGTCTCGACCACAAATGTATTTCTGAAAAAGAGAGGAAAAGATTCAGTGAACTTTGTTTTGTCTTCTCTCGAGGAACCAGCTTCGGGACACGCACGTTTAGTCTGCGTGTACATATTAGCCGCCACATGACTGACTCTCACACACATACGTACTTGTATATTGCTATATTCCTCCACGTGCCACTTAAAAGGCCGAGAGAGCGGATAAGATAGAAAAAATTTTGGTGACTCCATGTACGAAAAGTATATATATATATATATATATATATTTCCATAGAATTTACGAATTAGATTAAATGAATTATCTGTTACACAAAATAAAATAGAAAAAGAATATATGATACTATTATATGTAGCTTAAGTGCCTAACTAAATGTCTTACCTGCAAATTCCTTAAGTTTGATATTAGATTATGTTTTATCCTATTACTTTTGTTTCAAAATACACAATGTGTGATATTTCAATACAAAATCAAATCAATATATTTTTTAAGTAAAAAGTATTATGGTTAGACAATTAGGTTTTAAAAATGAAAACAGAAAAATGAAGTTAGCTGAACTAATTTTTGTGTTGGCTCTTAATTGTTCTGCTCATTTCAACATTTGAAATCAAATAACCTCCTACTTTTCCACTATTTAAATTTTCATTTGTAGCTGTTTTATATCACGTAAAATCCATAATCTGAAGTGGAAAGCATTCACACCGTTCTTAACATTAGACAAAAAAAAACAAAAAACAAGAAGTATTCACACCGGTCCATTAATTCGTAGTGATATATATGTTTTATATTTCCCCAATCACGGACGACCTTATCCATATCTCTCTCTCTCTCTCTTTTTTCTTATTCGAAATCTCAAACTCGTCTCACACTCTCTCCTGGTTTTACGATCTTTGTTGCCAAAAAGAGAAGGGCCTCTCGAGACAAGTGTTAGAATTACAAACACAACACCAGCTTCCTCTTCTCGACACGACCCTCCGTCATGTCTGCGCCAGCTATGTCTTCTCCTTGCCACGTTTCATCACTCTCTTCCACTATATATACACACTTACACATCTCCTCATCTCTTTGCCTTACCACTCACCAAAAATCGTCACATAACAACTCATTCGAGCTGTCAACATCAGCATATGTCATCCATAGACCCAAAGGTAATGATGGTTGGTGCAAATAAGAAACAACGAACGGTCCAGGCCAGTTCGAGGAAAGGCTGTATGAGAGGAAAAGGTGGACCCGAGAACGCGTCTTGCACTTACAAAGGCGTTAGACAACGCACTTGGGGCAAATGGGTCGCTGAGATCCGTGAGCCTAACCGAGGAGCTCGTCTTTGGCTTGGTACTTTCGACACCTCCCGTGAGGCTGCCTTGGCTTATGATTCCGCAGCTCGTAAGCTCTATGGGCCCGAGGCTCACCTCAACCTCCCCGAGTCCAAAAGAAGTTACCCTGATACAGCGTCCTCTGGGAACACACCAAGCAGCAACACCGGTGGAAAAAGTGGCGACTCGGTCAATGAGGAATCGCCTTGTTCATCCAACGAGATGATGTCATCGTGGGGAACAGAGGAGATATCATGGCCGGAACATATGAACGTGGATTTGCCGGTAACGGATGATTCTTCAATATGGGAAGAAGCTACAATGTCGTTAGGGTTTCCATGGGTTCATGAAGGAGATGATGATATTTCTCGGTTTAATACTTGTATTTCCGGTGGCTATTCTAATTGGGATTCCTTTCATTCCCCACTTTAAGGTTTCACTGAACTCTTCTTAACGACTATTAAGACCTTATCATATACAATATACATACTCAGAATCGTCACTGTGTTCTAGGAATATGTGTAAATAATAAATAGACATCAGCTCTGTGTAATTATGTGCATCTACATGTGGTTTGCTGTAGTGTAAAAGCAGATTCTTACCACATCAAACACATGAAAAAAGACAGTTGTGTGTCACGAATGCAAAAGTGTGTCTTGTGGAAAATTAGAAGTGCAATGTATCTGTGTAATTAAAACGGGATATTACGTTTTGTGTGTAACGGTCAATGTGAAACTGCATATGTCTGTTTCCTGTGACTGTGGGCTAGACTATTTTTGCTTGTTTGTTGTGTTGTATCTTTATCTGTTTTGTTTGTTACCCGCGTGTCTTTAATACTGCATGCCAAGGTCAATCACACTATACATAAGCTGGCCCGTTATCGGCCCATATCTATGGTCTCCACCTAATAGTTGATGCAAACACAAATCTTGAATCCACATATCCCACTAACATATAAAATTTTGGTTTTCATTGCCAAACTAACTTATGCACTATGTCTCTGGTCATAAAAGGATACATAGTAGTAAGTTGTTTTTTTTGAATGAAGATGATGAATAAGATACGATATTTTCTGACATGCAAGGCGGCCTAGGAAAACCGATAAATAGAACTGGACCGGATTGGTGAAATCCTAGAGGTTTATTTTGATTATTTAATTTTTGGGATACAGAGCAACTGAAATCAGTGTAGTATATGGATATGATTTAGACTCGAGTTCAGTTATTCTGTCATATATATAATTTATTTGTTGTTTTTTTAAGTCAGCTTTTGACTTTTTGTCCAGTTGGTTTAAATTCAATTTCGAGATTTTGGATAGTTGGATATTAAATCAATTTTTTAGCACGTCCATTTCTTGATCAAATTTATCAGATCACTTTCTTTACTTCAATTCAGATGAACCGATCCAAATTGATCCCATATCCTGACAGTAATCATTAATGAAGACCATAAATGCAAATTATAACATTCTATTGATGATCGAAAAGGAAAAGAAAAACCACAAGAAAATGTAATAAAAATGGCACTAATATATCAGCCGAATATTTTATATATAGAGAAGTTCCAATCCAAGCTTCCCACATAGTCTGCATCATCATCGTCATCTTCACCAGTCACCACCATTCTCATGATTCATGAACAATGATGTCTCATCCACTCTTTTTTCTCCTCAAAAACCTTTCTTAGGTAATTAATATTAAGAAGAAATAAAAAAAAACTAAAAAAAAGGAAACAAAAAAGAAAAAAAGCAGACACAAAAAGTCATAAAACACAACGGCACACCATTGTTTCCCGTTTTAATTGGGTAATGGCATTTGTAATTATTAGCTGGAGAAAGACTCGAGTGGTCAAACATTGTCCGTTGACTGATGGAGCAGTGGAGCTGTGATGGACGATTTGATGGAGCCGCAAGAAACGGGTGCACGTTCGATACCATGCTCCGCGGAGGACTGGATCCCTGCCTTTTCTAGAGCTGCAAATTTCCTCTCCTCGCTCTTACCGTACAACACAAAGTAAAGTCCCGCTATGATCAACACAGCTCCAATAATCCTGCCATTCGAGAACCGCCACGTGGCAAAAAACAGTTAAAATCCTCGTTTCGCTCCTTCGAATAATTGTTTTGAAAAAAAAATCTTATAAAACCACCCTTATATATATGGTTTATTAATTTTACATACCCGCCCAAGTAAAACTCTTCGCCTAAAGCAATCGAAGCCATAATCGCAACGACCAAAGTCTGAACAGGTTGATAAACAGCAACGAAGACTGGGCCCCCTCTGTCAATACACCAAATTTGAACCGCAAACGCGATTCCAGACGCCACTATTCCCTGAAATTAACCCAACGTTCGTAAGGATCAAACTGACCAATTTAAAACAATAGGGCGTAATTGGAAAATCAAGAAATTAACTGTACAAGATGAGAGAAAGTAAAAAAAGACTAACGGCGTAGAGGATGGTAAAAAGCTCCCAGCCGGAGTGAAAAATCCAAGCCTGAGAATCTCTTTCACAGAAAGCAGCGATGATCAAGAACTGAATGATTCCAAAGAAACAAGTGTAAGACGTAACCGAGAGCCTCGCCGGATAAGATTTGAGAACCGGAGCTTGAAAAACGAGCCAACCGGACCATGAGAGACAGTGACCAATCAGGTAGATGCAACCAAGGGTCCAGTTTTTCGGCGCGGCGTTTCCTAACGGCGCTAATACGGCGGAGTTGGTGGTGAGGAGCTGAGTGTGGAGGTGGCTAGTCGGAGAGTAGATAGTGGGACCCTTGTAGAGAGTGATGACGGAAGCTCCGGCGACGCAAAGAGCTGTTCCTAAGACCTTGGAGATACCGTCTCTTCTGTTTATTCTAACTTTCTCAATCCTGTGATTGTTTTTAACATACACAACGTAACCAGTGTGTTACTATTATGATCGATCACATTATTATTAGTATAAATTTGAAATTTGATTGAAAATGCCATTTAATGTTGTCTACGTGTAATATCATCCACTTATGGTATAGGTTTCTTTCTTGTACGTTGAAAAGTCAAACGAACATTATTAAAGTAGTTCGTTATATCTCCCTAGCTGTCCATAAGTTTTAAATTATTTCTTGTCTCTCTTTTATGAAAATTAAAAGAGATGAGAACAAGAAGAGAGATGGATCGATGCCTGAGAAGAGCAGCCATGAGAAAGGTAATGGCGGGAACAGAGTTTTGCATGGAAGAAGCAAATGTTGGTGAAGTGTTGTCCAGTCCCAACAAGTAAAACCCTTGGTTCGCCGTTATTCTGTCGTGTAATAATACCATAACGAAAATCCATTAAGTAATAATCCAATTTTATTACTAGAAAAATTCAAAAGAGTGGAATAGAAATATAAATACCCGATGAGCGCCAAAAAGAAGAACTGGATGAGAAAGTTGAGAGTAATCGCTGGTCTCTCCTTCCTAATTACACACAATTATTGTTAACTAAATAAGTAAGTAAGTAATTAGTTTAATCACAACAAAGAGAAAGAAAATTAAATAGGGTTTTAGTTAAAAAGGTTACTTTTCGAGGAAGTAAGCGAAGGGAAGGAGAAGAAGCAAAGCGATGATGTTACGATAAACAGGGAAGACAAGTTTGCTGATTCCCATGTTAAGAGCAGCTCTCGAAACTACGTGGAATCCGGCGTAACCGAATTGCAACGTAAGCATCGCTATGTGAAGCTGAAGCTTCTCTGGAACTCCCCATAACGCTCTCCGGTTATCGGTGTTATCAGCCATTGGAACTGACCTTAATTTGAATCGACGAAGATGGAGAAAGAATGAGTGTGTTTGATTGAGGAAAAGGAGTGAAGTTGTGGAGATATAAATATAGGTAGATAGCTATCTCATTCCCCTCTTTGGCTGTGGGAACCACCACGCTTGAGAGTTTTAATATGGTATTCAATGTATTGCTATAAACTTATAACAGTGTTTAATATCGAAAGAACAAACAAATTGGATCTAGGTACGGATTTAGGTACATTAATGATTTTTTTCTTGTTGTTGATTCCGATCATTAAATCAAAATATATGACTTTGGTATATACTTGGATTTTTGAAGGCAGTCACTCCTTCACTATAATATTGAATTGGGAAATCGAAAATTATATTATTGTCTCGCTATTGTTTTATGAATCAAATAGGTTCACTGATGCAGATCATATCCCAAAGATGCGGCCTCAATAGCTAAAAAACAGAAATCAAAAGTCTCGCTATTGTTATTCATCTGATCAAGTAATTAAACGATAGTGTTTTTAGATTTTTAGATTAAAAACAAGATTTAATAATGGATATTGTAATTTGGTTTATTTGAGGTTAAGCGTTAGTTGTGCAATTTGCTACTCGAACTTCCCGGATTGCTTGTAATAATGGTTCGTCTACGAAGAGAGATCGACCAGCCTTACTAATATTCGATTTCTGTTGTTTAACTTAATTATTTGTCATCATCACTTTTGATGGACTCTTGGTTTAGCTATATGCATCCTCGTGTCTAAAACATTCCAAATTTTCATTATACATCAAACTGAATTGCCTTTGGCCGCAAACAAACAAATAATTCTGGTTGATTTCATGTTTTCTTCTAACTATATGAAATCAAGCTGTTAATATTTAAACCAAATTGATTAAACAAAAGGGCCCGCAATTTTAACTGTGTACTATTGTGTTTTTTTAAGAAAATAAAGAAGAGAGCTTAAAAATGTGTAAAGGGCAAAGGCTGTCTCCCACATTCTTTTATTTTCTGCCTGTTCTAGCTGACATGACAACCTTCACGCCACTACTCATTAACGCAACCATCATTACTCTTCTTAATTTTTTTATATCTAAAATTATTTTTAATCTGAAAAATCAAGGAAGTACAAAATTAAATAGAAAAAAGCACGCAGACAAAAAAAAATATTGAAAAAAGCACAATTGTTTATTACAGTATTCCCTCAATATGCACTCACTATCTTAGACATTATAATGGTTTTAATTTGTCCTTTCCTTTCATATTTTTGGGGCAGCATGGCATTGCGACTAATTATTACCTATAGAGTAGTCTCCAGGAGAATAACAGTCTTATATTATTCCTATAATTAGATTTCGTTTTAACGTATTTTTTTTACTTTCTTCGTAAATAGAGTATTATTAATTGTTTATGCTAAATAATTAATTTTGTGGGGACGAGCCCCACGCGCACTCGCGAACCGTGAGCCCCACAGGACCTCCTATTACGTAGGCACACCCACACGCTCAATATTTATGTACACGCTTACACCAATATTATTATCTGTATTTGTCCTCAATTATTTTAGTTGTATTTTCCTATCATCAATAATCCAGTATATATACATGCAGGGCCGGCCCAATTGTGATTGACGCCTAAAACAAGTTGAAAAAATTTGCATAAAAAATACATTTAGAAGCATCGAATTTGGGTTGCTGCCCCTAAAAAATACAACAGAAAGTTGGAATAACCACTAGACTACGAAGACATTCTAGTAAAATTTGCTGCTCCTAATATTTATTCTAAATCTAGCGCCTAAAGCTACTGCTTTACCCGCTTCAACTCAAGGCTGGCCCTGTATACATGTGTAATTAGTGTTAATTATAATACTCAAATATACTGTATACTTATAGTCATAGAATATAATTCATCGACCAGATTCTGGTTGCTTGTATGCTTTCATTTTTCTCTTTCTTTTTGTTTTGTTTTGATTTTTTTTCCG